TTTAAAATTGCTAATGTTCGAAACTGAGGCATCCAGCCAGCTAAGTGCAGTGCACCTTACATTTCCTGTAATAGCTATCCACTGGAGTTGGGTAGAATCTCAGGGCTCATAAGGGCTTTAGAAACAGTCTCATCTCACCGTCTAATTTTGGAGAGAAGAAAAATGGCCCCTGAGATATTCAGATTTACCCAAAAATATCAACTGAGTAGAACAGAAAGTTGTCTCTGAAACACTATCTGGTCGTTTTTCTACTGTACTATCTCTTTGAAAATAAGTGATAATTATAAATAGTCTCAAAACAAAAAAAAAGTGGAAATTTTAGTAACAGGAGTTTTCTTCTAATTATGCAATGGACCACCTGAAGATAGGCCTATAAACTCAGCTATTCCTGATTTTAGTGTGAATTATTCATTCTGTAGGTAGACTGAAAAAAGCATTTAATGAGAATGCTAGACTTTGTGTTCACATAGGACAACTTTCTCTAAGTATCACTAACTATTGCCAGTAATCTATCTTAAAAGGAGAAAAACATTTAAAAATTATAAGATGAAGCCATTATTTTTGCTTAGAGAAACTTCTAATGGAAAAGGTGAAAGAGATAGCCAAAAACAGATTTAGATGTGTGGGATTTAAGGAGGTATTTGTTTGTAATTCCAATGTCCAGACTGCTGAATGTTAACAGCTTATTTTCAAGTATTTTGAGAAATTCTCATGAAGATAACCTTTAGACTGTGTTAGGTGTAACAGAATGAAACAAGTTAGGGAAAGCTTTCTAATTGTTATTGGTACACAAATGTATAAAAATATAATATAAGGAACAAAGGAAGACCAAGGAGATAGCTCAGTGGAATAAGTGCTTGCCTGGCGAGTACAAGGTCCTGAGTTCTATCCCTGGTACCACAAAAGAAAAAAAAAAAAAAAGAGTTTAGAATTAGAGTTAATTTGGAATAAGACCTGTATTATGAAGTATAAAAAAGATATCCAGCAAAGGTTTAAAGTTTATTGCAGTAAGACACATTGCCATTAATCCCTCTCAAAATACTCCTTTTCACTTGAAAAACACTTATATCACTCTTGCCACTTTCTGAAGCAGCTCTGAAAGTTCTCTTTCATGAGTATCTTTAGTTGCACTGTCTTGGCTGCTTTTATGTTCTGAATTGACCCAAACATTACCCTTTTGAGCCATTTTGACTTAGAGGAAGAACCAGAAGTTGGGCCGTGCCACTTCTGATGCACAGAGTGGATGAGGACATGTCACAGTGGCCTTATGAGCCTGCCTTTCCATTGGGTGCCACTTGGCCGCAGCATTCACTGTGTCTTTACATCATGTGAAGATATGAAAGAGGGCTTCTAGAACTGCTTCAAAAAGTTGCAAGAGTAGAGCTGGGGAGATAGCTCATAGACTAAATGCCTGCCTGGCAGCACAAGGACCCGGGTTCAATCTCCACCACTTCATGCGTGCCGGCCCCAGAACACTGGGCCCGCAGTGCCGGCCACCAAAACCAGGCATGGTGGCGCACACCTATAAGCCCAACGCTGGGGAAGCAGAGACAGGAGGAGGATCACTACAAGTCAGAGCTCTGTAGAGAGACCCTGTACCAAATAAACAAATAAATAAATAAAAATAAATATTTTCAAAAATGAAAAACAAAGCAAGTTGCAAGAGTGATGAGATAAGGGCCAGCTAAATAGCTCAGCAGGTTAAACTGCCTGCAAGCAGGTGCAGGGGCCGGGGGTTCAATACCCGAGCTTGCCATGCTGCCCCCCCCCCCCGTCACGCTGAGATGGCAATTGAGACTGGGCATGGTGGCGTGCGCATATAATCCCAGCACTTGGGAGGCTGTAATCAGGAGAATCGCTATGAGTCCGATCTAGTAGTGAGACCCTGAATATCCTGTAGACTCTTCTCTAAAATACAGGAGAAAAAAAAAGAGTGATGAGATAAGTGTGCTTGAAGTGAAAAGAGCTGTTTTGAGGGAGATGAACTGACAGTGTGATCTTTACTGCAATAAATTTTTGTTTGTAAACTGTCACCATATATTTTGATCATAACCTGTATATTTGGACATGTTGAATGCAACAAAAATAGCAGTGAAGATTTAGGAAATGGTAATCTCAGTTCTGGCCACTAGCCGTGTTTGCATTCTCCTCTTATGAAGTGGCTAAGAGTGAAAGCCAGCTTCACACTTAATGTGTATTGCTTGTGATTCATCTGAGCACTAATCTTAGGAGACAGCTTGCCCTAGGCCTCTCCCACTGTCTCTGAATTTCCAACAGTGTTACCTTCCTTGTCTCTTGTTTGTTCTTCAGTAAAATGGTACAAAGACTGTAACCCCCTCATGGTAGATTCAAGGAAGAGAAGGGTTCCTACGCAGTGTCTGACACATAGTAAGATGTATGTGCTGAGTATTCATTTGGCTTCTGTTACAACTAATCCATTTATATAATTTTATGTATTTCCTACTTGGTTTTCTAGAACAAATAGAGTTGACATAGATACACATAGATGCACAAAGATTCATCCATGTTAGAGGCTCATATGGGATCTGAGTGTCCACAGGAAGATTGTATGTCTCAGGACAGTGTCCACATGGTGACATTTCATTCTTCAGGCTTATAGCAGGACCCCTTCTCCATTAAGAGCAGCTCATTGATCTTTTCCTGGTCTGTGTCTTTGTGAAAGTAGATTCTGAACAACCGCACAAAATGTGAGAATCGTTCACACACATGAGTGTCACATGGCTACCAAAGTACACATCTGTGTGGAAGGACAGGAGGAGCTGGCAGTGGGTTACCAGGTGGAGGGTCTGCCCGCCCCCCCATGGAGGGCTGACACTCAGTGCAAGACACTTTCACAGCTTTATTTCCTCAGCACCGCAGCATGTGAGATAAAGAACTTCATCCCTTTATTTTGACTACAGTATCTGGATCTACTCTTAATCTGTTTGCAGTATTAAAACATTTCCAAAGCATGAAGTTTATTCTCTGTGCACTAGTCTTCGTTTTCTAAAATGATTTCTATTCTGTAACCAGGACTGTTAGTTAAGCTTACAACAGAGAGGCTCTTGTGGGACCTAGGACGTGGGGCTTGATTTTGCTTGTTTTGGAAATTTGCCCTAGTTTGGGGAGAATAGAACAATCTGGCACCTTCCATTTCATTTTATAGGTCTACATGCCACTGAATATCACTGTGGGTTTTGGCTTGTTAAGTACATTGGTAACAGTGGGGTTTTGCTAATTTTAATGCTCCTTTTCAAGAGGAAAGCAGGGTTCAGCGTTTATACTACCACTGTAGCTATTTTATTAACATGTTAAATTATAATCAAGGGCTGTTCTAAAAGCTCATCAGATTTCTTAGCCCTTTTTAAATGGTGAAAATGTAATCCAGTCCAACTTCAAAGCCACTGACTGGCACAGCCCTGTCCCCATCCTCTGGCAGTCCCCTCTCCCCTGACATTCAGTGTATGGCTTGAGCTGAGCCCCCAGCCACTGCTGGCCTTTGAGCTGCTGTGGTTGCTTTGCCCTTGTGACTTCCTAAAAAATAGATTTGAAATTACTTCTGTTTTATCCTAGCCAAGTAGACTGACCTGGAAAGATTTGCTTAAAGAAGCTATTGGCTTTTTAAATTTTTTTCTCCGAGGTAAAGTGCAGGACTGAAGCCCTGCCTTGAGGCCACTCTCCCCAGGGCTGGAGTTCCGATACCAGTCCACAGAGCGGTATGAAATGAGATGCTAGAGCAGGTAGGAACTGCCCCATCGTTGGGAGCCACTTGAGTAGGTGGCGCCTCTTCTTCCGTCAGGGGAAAGGGACATACGCTGGCTTCAGGTACTCCGAGTGAGAAGCTGGAGCATAACTGAAGTTTCCCCTTTCTGTCCTGCTTGATCACACAGGAGCACAGAAATCCCAGCCACCCTGCTGTTTTCTGTGGTCTCTGCTCAGTGCCTCAGCACACAGCTGCGGCTAGCCCAGATCTCCCTCTGCAGAACCCTGGGTGGGAACGTGGCCCCAGGTCATCCATGTTTATAGATGCAAGACTAGCTGGGGTCGTTTAGGAATGAGCCCTTGAATTTATTAGATTTCAGTTCTTTTCAGCTCAGGTACACTGTATTTTCTTTCTTTTTTTTTAACTTTTTAAAAAATCTTTTGTTTATTTATTTATTTGATACAGGGTCTCACTAGACAGCTGGGACTCATAGTGATCCTTCTGTCTCAACCTCCCCAGTGTTGGGATTACAGATGTGCACCACCACACCCAGGTTCTGGGGCTGGCCTGGCATGTGGACTGGGGATTGAACCCGGGTTCTTGCACTTGCCAGGCAGGTGCTTAGACTGCTGAGCTATCTCCCCAGCCCCACACTGAATTTTCTACCCAAACTCCTGAGCTGTTACAGCATTAGGGCTTGGGCTAGGCCTCGTGTGTATTAGTTTCATTCCCTTCATGCTGTGTTGGCTGTTATTCTGCCTCCTTGTCTGAAGCAGTAACCTCGTTTTGACAGCATCAAATGAAACTCTGCTTAAGAATTTTTACTGAGTGCTGAGCCTGGATAAGCTAACTGAAAAAGTCTGTTTAACAATTGGCTGTGTCCTGTGGTCAGTTTTGGAGCCAGTTTCCTCCTATCATAAATTCCATCCAGTTGCAGCACAGGAGTACTGTCCTCAGTGTGCTGTAGGGGGACCTGGCCATCATTGTTGCCTGTTCAGTATTTCTGTATCCCTAAAAGAAAGCACATATATCCTGTAGCGTGGCTAAGTCGTGAAAGTGTTCAGAAAATGTCCCCTCGTTCTGCCTGATGGAGACTTCAGAACTCTGAAAATTGGATTGAGAAGACCATCCTAGTCAAATGGACAAACCAGTGATTTAAAACAATGTTTAAAAACAAGCATGTCCTACTTAGCGTCTTCCCATGGTCTGCACAGCTGTTGTCTAGCTGCTCTGGAGTTTGGACATGCACGCGCCTCTAGTGATGATCACCTTTTCTGTCTTTCTGTTTCATTTTTAGGACCAGGAAGAAAACAAGGGAGCTACAAGTTGGCCTGAATTCTACATTGATCAGCTCAACTCCATGGCTGCTGTAGGTATCCTAAATATTCCATGACACGGTTAAAACTCTAGCACAAAGTATGCAGTTGCATAATAAATCTGATTGAGTAAGACCTACCAAATACCTTTCCAGAGTACCAAGCACTCAGTGTTGGTGGGAAGTAAAGGGACAGGAGTGCTACTTGGCAAAGGGATCTTTCTAATACATTTTAAAATAAAATCTGCACACATTAAAATAGAATTGACTTTAATGTTATAAGAGGAAACATAATCTGAAATCTGGCTTGCATTCAACCTAGAAATGCTCTAAGTGATCACATGGAGCTTTGCAGAGCTATTCTAAAAGTTGATATCATTTAAAAATAGTATGATTGCTGGGGATCAGCAATCAGCTGCACAAGTGCCTGCCTGGCAAGCAGTGTCCTGAGTTCGATTCCCAATGCCAAAAAAAAGTATGATTACTATTCCTTCATTATACTCCTCTCATTCTCCTCCTTACGTAAACTTGGTTCCTTCTTGACTTCTTGACTTTGCAGGGGTCACAATTCCCTTTTCTCATCAAAAAACTAAGAACTCCATGGAGTAAATGGTTTAATAAAAAGGCAGAGCAGTAGTAATGATAATAGTGATGTGCTAAGATGTCCTCAGAGAGCCTTGCTATGTAGAGTTTTTGGTTCAGCCTATACTTAAAATGCATTCTCAGTATCTGCAGTATAAATTCTGATCACAAGGTGTCTGCTGTGATACCAGCATTCCAGGAATCGTGAGGGCTGTCTACTAAGCACAGCTAAATTCACAGCAGAGGATGAGTCTTTAACCTTGAATCCTTGGTAACTTAGCTGCTGTTACTGTTGCTCAAAGCGGAAGGTCATCCACAGTGTTTGCCACAGGGGCCCACTCATGATTATTACGTTAAGAGTCAGTCTGTTGTGTTCATCTGTTGTTATAATGTCCAAGTAAATAGCTTCTGTGATACTAGCTCCCCTTTTCTTTCTGTTTCCCCAGAGTCCCTGTGGAGAATGAATTTCTTAGCATCCTTAAAGAAAACATTTTAAATTAAAGTAAATTAAACTTTTTTAATCATTCACACTTTTGCTAAACTTTGAGAAGCCTTCATTAGTAATTTCTTGAATAGCATGCTTTCTGAACATACGTCTGCTGTACAGTGACAGGCCAGTGATTGTGGCTAGGGCTGTATAAATTATAGCAGAAACATAAGTTTTGACTCAAGAGTTTCTAGTCTAAAAGCATAGGTGAAAGGACAGAAGGTATCCATCAAATCCTTCTCATTCAGTGCATCAGGTAAAATGCAAAGATGAGAAAACGGTAAGCTCAGCATTTGCTTGCATATGTTAACAGAATATGAGATTCCTGATGACCACAAGGGATTTTTTTGTGCATCCGCTCAAACAGTAATGACTTGGAGCTGTTTAACAGTTCTTGCATGTTAAAGCTATTTTGTGAATTCTTGTTCCCATTAGGAAAAAAGAACTGTCAAGCAGACTGTCTTTCTCTGTAATTAAGTCAGCATTGTTTGAAGTATAATAAGAGAAATTTCTTTTTTGTTAATGAATTCCTTGCTATAAATGGAGTACTGCATACTATATAGACCTTTCTGTCTTCCGTGCTGGGGCAGCTCTGTTAATTTGGCCCATAGTGTCTTGTTACCTGCCTGGCCTGGAGAAGCCCTGGATCATCCTGAGGCCCAGAATCTGTGATGTTCCAGGCCCTTCTTCAGAGCCCTTCTCCTTCTTAAACCTCCTTGGACAACTGTTTACTGTATTCTTGAGTGGTCTGCATTTTAATTATCTTTGGATCCTATTCCAAAGTCCTTTCCCAGAGGGTAGCAGAGGCTATTAAATTACATGTGTGACTTTGATATCCTTTATGTGTCAAGCCCCTAACAAAACTTTCTGATGTTCCTTTTAGAGCTGAGCCAGCATCTTTCTTGGGTCAAAGATAAAGGGCACAAGCTGTCCGTGAGCTAATGAGGCCTCAAAACTTCTGCTGCCTGAAAGAACAAGGAGCCCTCAAGAGACCAGAAAACCCTGTGTCCCATTTTTTCTTTTTCTCATCATATCGGCTGCTCCACCCATCTTGCTTAGTTCTAATTAATCTCTCTGATGTCTGTGCTTGAGCAGCATGCACACACGTGTGCGCGTGCGCGCACACACACACACACACACACACATAAGCTCAGAGGACTGTCAAGGCACATGATTCTTCCAAATGCTTTTGTGTCCCAGCATCTAGACTCCTTGGCTTTCTGCGTGGGGCCCTGACGAAGGGTACACTGTCATCGTGTACCCTCCGTAGCATTACTGGCAACTACTATGGCTGAATGTGCCTCATGTGACAGACACTGTACATGTCATTTTAAGTCCTTGCCAGCACTCCATGCTGCCAGTGCTAGTAACAGATTGAGAGTCATAGATTCAGATGAGGGTTACCTTGTTAGGAAGGTCACCTAATTAGGAAGCAGCCACCAGTATGAGCCTAAAGGCTCCTTCGCACCTGCTTCTCACTAACTGGATCCTTAAAGCCCTTTGCCACGTGAAAGAGCCTGGAGGTCTTACTTATGCCTTCCATCCCCACCCCCACCCTACACCACCTTTCTAGGGGTGGGAACAGGCATCTGGTTTTTGAAAGCTTTGAGACTTTGATAAACTGTCCAGGTTGGGAACTGCCATACTTACTGCTCTGTGAAACCAGCTGTTCATGAAATAAGTTCAATTAGCTAAGCCATATAACAGAAGTGCTTTGTTCTTTAAAGGACCCCTGAGTGATCTGTTGCCTTTTAAAGAGTGAGAAGTGGTACTGGAAAGGCGTGCAACCCAGCAGGTTCGGAAGGGCTTGGACTTCGCTTGTCTTTCGCTTTGCAGGCTTTCTCAAGGTAGAGGGTGAAGGAGTTCAGTGTTGGTGGGCTGGCTCATTCATCCACACCAAGGAAGTGTTCAAACTGGAGCGCAGTTTCAGACCCAGGCTTGCCTAGAAGGCCTTCTGCTGGAGCGTGTTCTGGTGCGAGAACGTGTAGAGGGAGAGTGCCTGAGCTCTCCTGATGAGGCCAGTGCTACCTGTCAGAGGGACACCCTGTCTGCTGTTGAGCTTGTCTTCACAAATGTAGGCACAGTACCCTTGTAGAGTTTCACATTAAACCGTTCTAAATGTGAAGCGTAAAAACCGGAGGCTTCATACAAGTTACTTTATTTTGAGAGGTTGCATCATAATATCAGGTTCATCTGTGTACTCATACTTTTCTTCACACAGTAAGTGCAGTCTTAGACCTAAATCTAATTGTTGCCAATGCTGGTAACAGATTGAGAGTCACAGACTCAGATAAGCCTCAGATGAGGTGATAAGCCCTTTGCCACATGAAAGAGCCTATTCGCAAGAGATAGCTCATAAGCTCAGTCCCCTGGGCTTACGTGCATGTGTGCGTGCGTGTGTGCGTGCGTGTGTGCATGTGTGTGTGCGCGCGCATATGGGCGTGCTGCTCAAGCACAGACATGAGAGGGATTAACTAGAACTAAGCAAGAGAACATGAAAGAGCATATTCATAAGAGATCTGGTCTCTCTGTTATACGAGAAAGGGCATGTTCTTTCTTTTGGGAAAGAAAGCTCGAATTTAATTTTATGTGATGTTTCTCGAATCTCTCCAAGCCTACTACAGAAAGATTTAATGTAGTCTAGCTTTACTCAGCTGTCTTACCCTTTCCAGAACTGCTAAAAAGATAGACCCATGCATTTTACTTTTGTATTAGTGACCCACAATAAAATGAGTACTCTTTAATTTCAGAATGCTTTTGTGAGATAAAGTTTAGGAGCAAGGAGTAATATTCACAAAAGATTTGATTCTGAGCTGCAAATTCAAAGTGATTGCTTACAAGTCCAAATGAGTTCAGCTGTGCCACTAAAGATTAAATGTCCTTGGCTGGATTTGTGCTACATTTCCCAGGGCGTGGGTCTCACAGGGCACTGAAGGGCTTCATTGGCTATTTCTGCTCATAGCTTCTTTCTCAACTGTCCTCTGGTGACAGCTGTCCAGCTGCATCACCAGCAAGAGGGAAGGTTTAGCAGAAACAATAACAAGTTAAACAAAACAAAACCTCTCCTGGCTTTTATTTCAGTTCCCACAAGCGACACTGATGGATTCATGTGCCCAAGGCTTTGCCCCCTCAAGTTGAGTGAGGCTTTGACATGTAGTTACTTAATGCTGATGCTATTGATTTAAAAACTAGTCATCCTTGATGGTGACGGCAAGAGAGTGACTGGATCATTGAGACCCACGCATCTGTTCAGCTTTGTACTTTTTATGCTATCACCTCAATGTCAAGCCTGTTATCAGAAATTGGTAACAGATGGACTGGTGATATGGCTCTGGTAGAGTTCTTGCCTTGCATGCAGGAGGCCCTGGGTTTGATCCCCAGCAGCACAGAAAACAAAGTTGGTGATAGGTCAAAGAACTAAGACTGGACAAGTGTGCATTCCGAGCAGGATGAAGGAAAGTGTCAGTAACTGCAGAGTTGGAGGCTCTGGGGACCTGACTCTGGGGCTGCTTTAGTACAGTGAGGAAGTCACCACGAAACATAAAGTGGGAAAGACTGTAGCGCTTATACCATTAGCATTCATGACTTCATCATGAATATCAACTGAGTCTTGCTCCTCCAGAGTCAGCGTTGCCTGAGAGCTTTTTAGACGAGCAGCGCCTCAGGCCTCCCCCCTCCCCCCTGACCTGCCAAGTTAGGGTACACCTCTTAGCATGATCCTCGGGTGATGTCCATCCCTGTGTTACAGTCTGGGAAGCATTGGTATAGCAGATTCCCCGGGAGGCTTAAAAACACGTTCTCGCAGATACTGTATATTCTGGTTTCTAAATGATGTTGAATCATTTGGAAAGTTGAAACACTAACTTTTGAAGAAGTGTCCATCTTAATAACAGATCTAATTTAATTATTCCTTTCAGAAAACTAATTTGATACTGTGAGATGCCTTTGATCTCAGTAACACTTTTCAACTGATAAATGGGAAAACTGCTCCCCACTGCCTCTGTTTGATAGTGTGATAGTCTTAACCTTAATTGCTAAAATGTTATACTCAACTACAGGATCTATCTTCCGTTAAGTACAAGTAGTAATACTACATCAGCATGTTGTTATAGAATAGTTACAGAAAAAAAAAATACTTACTCAGGTAACTTAATTTCTACTAAGATTTCTAGACATTTCCTTAAAGTGTTATTTAAAATTTGAAAACCTAACTTACAATAGAGACTAAAAAAAAGTTACAGAATTGGTGGTCATGTTACTCACATTTAATTTTGAATACCAGTATAGATTTATTGGCTGTTTCTAATAAAATGGTAATAGCATATAATCTGTGGGCTTGTTTTGCTTGTATGGTAATTAAAGCGTAGAATGTAAAGAAATAATTTCTATTTTCTTTGCATAGAGAAAATCTCTGCTGGCTTTAGAAAAAGAAGAAGAAGAAGAGAGAAGTAAAACTATAGAGAGTTTAAAGACAGCACTGAGGACAAAACCAATGAGGTACTTTGTCCTTGGGCTACCTGTTCCTTCCTTTTCTCTCCTTTCCCCTCTTCCTTCTACTTTTCTGCAGTGGTCAACCCTTCCAGAAAGCTTTAAATACAGAGCGTGCAACTGAACCATGGTTGAAATGCTTCACTCACCGAGCATTTAGCAAGTTGGTTTTCTTCACTTAGCAGTGACCAGGACAGCTAAAATGGAAGGGACAAAGAGTAACAATATTGACAGGAATATGGGAAGATTCGGATCCTTATTCATTGCTGTTGGGAAAGTAAAATGTTACAGCCATTTTGGAAAAGTTAATTCCTTGGAGTATTAACTATAGAATGATCATAAAAAATGAATAGTTCTGCTCCTAGATGTATACCAAAAGAAGTGAAGACCTGTTCCCCTAACACATGTCCCAGTGTTCAGAGTAGCATTGTTCAAAATAGCCCCAAAGTAGAAGCTAACAACTCATATGTCCGTCAGTTGATAAATGAATAAATGAAATGTTGTGTACCACGCAGTGAAATATTTTTGGCCATAATAAAAGACTGAAGTTCTGATACATATCACAACATGGAATAGCCTTGAAAATGCCCTGTAAGGTGAAAAAAACAGTCACAGATGACCAGATATTGCAGGCATAGATGAAATGTATGCAGGAGCCTAATTCATAGAGACAGAAAGTAGATTAGTGGCTGCCAGAGGTAAGGGAAAGGGAAAACGGTCTCTTGGGAATGATTAAAATATTGTAACATTAGATAATGTTGAGTTGTTGCACAATCCTTAATCTATTTTTAAAAACTGAATTGTGGGCTAGCCAGATAGCTCAGCAGACTAGAATGCCTGCTTGGGCAGAACACAGTGGCGGGGGTTCGATCCCAGCCTGCCATGCCAGCCCCACCCCTAGGGCACGCTGAGACAGCAATTGAGACTGGGCATGGTGGCACCTGCCTGTAATCCCAGCGCTTGGGAGGCTGAAAACAGGAGAATCACTACAACTCTGATCTGTGTAGTGAGACCCTATAGACCCCATAGACCCTGTCTTAAATGCATAAAAAAAATGATAAAATAAAAAATAAAAAACACTGAATTGTACACTTGCACAGGATGATTACATGATGTGAATTATATGACAATAAAACTATTATTAAGAATAAAAGATGGGCAGGCCTTCTGGGAATAGTGATTCATTCCTGTCTGGTAACCAGCTTTCACTGGTTGCCTGCCCCACCTCCAGCTTCCCTTAGGCCCTTAGGATTTGGTGAGAATCCTACCCATACATTTCCTTAGCAAGATGCTGTGAATGGAGCTAGCTGGTTTAACCAGCTTGACAGTGCCTCAATCATGTGGGTGGGTGGAATGGCTCGGAAGCAACTATTGCCTTTCTTCATGTGATAATAAAATGTAAACTAAGAAAAATCTAGGGGCTGGGGAGATGGCTCAGTAGAATAAGCACTTGCCTGGCAAGAGCAAGGGCCTGAGTTCAATCCCCGGTCCCACCAAAAAGAAAAAAAAAAAAAAAAAGAAAGAAAAATCTACTGATTTGTCACTACTTGGTTGTATGACACTCTCTCGGAACTGTATCAGCGGTTTTTTTCAGTGTGTCCAGCATTGTCATATGTTAGTATAAAAAGCTAATTAGGAAGTTTCTCAAGGAGTCAGTGAACAGAGGCTTTGACATGCATATGAACTATTTTCATTGTTAGACTTTATAGTAAATGTTATAAATATTGTCAAAATTAACTTGGCAGTAATAAAATACATGTGTTGGGATTCTGTGTAGTATGTGATCTAATGGAAAAGCTTTGCTACCAAACCTTACAAATACAGATAATCATTTGTTTGACAAGAAAATATCCTGGAGTTGAAGGATGATTTTTGGTTGATAGGGTGCTGGGGTCAGCAGTCAGCTCACGAAGTGCCTGGGAACTGGATTCTGTAGTAATTGATCTGCGGATGATTTTAACTCTTTGAGAACTAACCCTTCATTCACCTGTCCCCACTCCCACCTCTCATCCCTGACAAACTTTCCTCCTAAGGACTGTTGCAAACTCCAGAGGGACTTAAGTCTGATACACTTCTCTTCCCACCAGGTTTGTCACCAGATTCATTGACTTGGATGGCCTGTCATGTATTCTCAACTTTCTGAAGACCATGGACTATGAGACCTCCGAGTCTCGAATACATACCTCTCTCATTGGATGTATAAAGGCACTAATGAATAACTCTCAAGGCCGGGCTCACGTCCTGGCTCATTCTGAGAGTATTAATGTAATTGCTCAGAGTCTGAGCACTGAGAACATTAAAACAAAAGTGGCCGTGCTGGAAATCTTGGGCGCCGTGTGCCTGGTTCCCGGGGGCCACAAGAAGGTTCTACAGGCCATGCTGCACTACCAGAAGTACGCCAGTGAAAGGACACGCTTCCAGGTGGGTGCTCCCTGGCCTCTGTGTACACCCATCTCTAACTCTTAAAAGTCTTCACGAATAGGTACCTTTTCTGCCCACTAATGAGGATACCCCCTGAGATTTCTCCCTGCAATTATTACACCATGACTTCAAACCTTCCCTTCTTTTACGTTTAAGAACCAGAAAATAGAATACACTTCTGTAGTTGCACAGTCTGGGGCCTTTAGACTTACTGAACTTGGAAATGTAGCCATGCGTCCTAATATTATGCAGCATATGCCCTTTGAATCCATTAAATGGAGTATTCCCTGGAAATCTTAGAGGATGCCATGCTGGAGTTCAGATCAATTTTAATAGTGAGATTATGTCACCAAGGTTTTACTTAGATGTAAAAAGCAAGCAGAGGTAATAGAGCAAAGTCTTCTGTGTATGTATATAAATGCACATATATGATGTAAGAATTTTAAAGGGACTTTTAGTATTACGTCATTGAAAGGAACAGTTAGTGCTTATATTGCTTGATCAATTTTGCATGCCTGGTAATCTGAACAACTACTTTGAAGATAACAATATGCAATCTAATAACCATGGCTAATTTTGTATCATCTTGTTTTGCAATTCTGTATCATTTTTGTAGGTTTTGTTTTTTTTTTTTTTTCTGTCTTTAAAATAAAAAAATAAGGGCCAGCCAAATAGCTGAGTGGATTAAAGTGCCTGCAAGCAGGCGCAGGGGCCAGGAGTTCAATCCCCAGGCCTGCCATGCCAGTCCTGCCCCCAGGGTGTGCTGAGACTGCGCAATTGGGAGGCTGTAAACAGGAGAATCACTACAAGTCCGATCTAGTAGTGAGACCCTCAGAACCCTGTAGACCCTTCCCTAAAATACATACATACATACATAATAAAATATAAGCTATATATTATATAGAATAAGCTATTATAATAGAATAGCTTTATATGGCTATATATTATATAGAATAAGCTATTATAATAGAATAGCTTTATATGGCTATATATTATATAGAATAAGCTATTATAATAGAATAACTTTGTATGGATCCATATAATAAGGATTGCTCTGTATAAATTAATATAATTTTGACTAAATAGATATTAAAAGTTAACCTATAAGCATAAAAAATCTGTAACATGAACATACAGCTGATACTGACCTCATCCTTTGTTTTTGTATTTGTGTCCTGCATAGATGTTAATTAATGACTTAGATAAAAGCACTGGGCGGTATCGAGATGAAGTGAGTCTGAAGACTGCCATCATGTCCTTCATTAACGCAGTACTAAGCCAAGGCGCAGGAGTGGTAAGAACCTTCTGTGTGGTACATGCTTATATACTATGAAAAACAATTTTAAAACATCATAATAATGCAGTCTTAAAACAATGAATATGTATTTTATCACCCTTGTACTTTAGGAGAGTTTGGACTTCAGACTTCATCTTCGCTATGAATTTCTAATGTTAGGAATTCAGCCCGTAATAGATAAATTAAGGGAGCATGAGAATTCGACATTAGATAGGTAAGTCAGACTGTTACAGTCTGAGATAGTTCATACTTATTCCATATGTATGGTGCAGTGCCAGCCCGTGAACTGTTTGTGATCTGTTTGTAACCCAAGTGACTTGCACTGGAATGTTGGCACAGCTAAGTGTGTTTTTATCATAAGACTTAGTCAATGAAGGCAGCAGTATATTGTGTAGAGAACTTAATGTGGGTTTGGGCACGAGACCTGAATCCACCTCCTGTCCTGGTCTTGCCTCTGACTATATATCCGGGTCAAGTTACTCCTTCCTTCTGAACTTTGGTGTTTTTATGCTCATAAGAGACGGTGAAGATGGTGATCATAATGACAGTTGTCTTCTTCCTCTGTCGAGAAAATTGACCGTAAACCCATGGAATCACTTAGTACCTTCAGTAGGCATTCTGCACATGTTACTTTCGCTTTCTTGTTCACGTTTTCTCATTTGCAGTCATCTCACCATTCCTAGCTAGGTGTATTAGTCCTCAGCTCTTTCCTTCCATCACTCTTGTCCTTCATTCATCCATACCATCGTGCTCTGCTTCTGGATATTCTGTCCAGTGTACTCTTGCACATACTATTTCCTCAGCTTCTAAAGATATTTCACAAATTCCTGATGTTTGTTCCCTGCAGAAAGACCTTTCCCAACTGTTGTGTCTATTCACTTTATTCCCAGTAATTTTCTTTTCCCTTTACCTTGGTGTATTTGCCTTCATAGACTGTTTGACTACCAGTGTGTAAAATAATTATTAGAGACTTAATAAATATTTGAATGAGTAATGAAAGATTCAGATGTTTCTTTGGTGATATTTAATGAATGGAGTGTAGGGATATGGGTTTTTCTGTAAAGGGTGTCCATGAGAGGAATCTGGACTTGATTAGATTTGATTACCACTTACTAATTTAATACTATCATACAATATGCTATGCACACCAGATTTCTAAATTTTTCTCTTACGATGACCTTACTTAACTCAATTAATATATTTTTCCTTTAAAAGAGCATAGTTAAAAAACAAGGGCATTCAAATTTTTGTTTCTTTTAGAGTGATCTCTGAAAATTCAGGAAAGGGCTTAGTGTTAATGTCCTGAATCCTATGTGCTTGTGTTTGTAAGATGTTACACTCTTAGTTGTTTTTAATTATCTTTCAGGCATTTAGATTTTTTTGAAATGCTCCGAAATGAGGATGAACTAGAATTTGCCAAAAGATTTGAACTGGTATGTGTGCTTCTGATTATTCTGGTTTGACATCTCAGCTCACAGAACTTGCCCTTAAATCATGCTGTGCACCTAACATGGGTCACTGTGTCTGTGAGCAGAAGCAGAGCTCTGGGTGTCACCCAAGTGGCAAGATGAGTGTCTGCCTTGGACTGGCTTTCCTTACATTGAGCAGCTTGAGCGTTTCTCTTAGATTTGTTCTGCTATCAAACAGGTCCACATAGACACAAAAAGTGCAACGCAGATGTTCGAGCTAACCAGGAAGAGGCTGACACACAGTGAAGCCTACCCCCACTTCATGTCCATCCTGCACCACTGCCTCCAAATGCCTTGTGAGTGCTCGCCACTTACCTGGGGGTGCGGCGGGCTTCGATGTCTTCTGTGGGCTCTGTCTCCTTAGCGGTGCTGACCAGAACAGGGGAGGTCAGGGACTCCAAGCCTCAGCTTTATGACAGCCTGTGTCTCTACCGTGGCTTACCTGGTGTTAAATTCTCAAAGTGAAATAAGTCACAACTTACATTTGCTTCAGAATAAACATGTGCCTTACAACACATTTATAAAGAGATAAAGACTATCTTTAAGTAAATGATTATCACACGTCAGGCTTCCTTAAGCCTAGGGAAGCACTGGTGCAGCTGATGTAAGTGCCACTCTGTTCTGTGGCCCTAAAGGCTGCTCAAAGTATTCATCCTCATTTACAAGCAACCTGAAGATCTTTTCCCACGATTCTTTCCCTTTTCAGACAAGAGGAGCGGCAACACTGTTCAGTACTGGCTGCTACTAGACAGAATTATACAGCAAATAGTTATCCAGAATGACAAAGGACAGGACCCCGACTCCACGCCTTTGGAAAACTTTAATATTAAAAATGTGGTACGAATGTAAGTCTCTTCATTTGCTACTGCCTGGGAGATAATGATGACAGTGTAGTGGACTTATTTTATCCTGCTTCAAAATAATAGCTGAGAGCGCTGCAGTAGTCTAGTTGCTTTACAGATATATGCAGTATGTCTCAGTAACATCCGGGTTTAAACAGGCTTCAGGCCTGCACTGAAGATTTTCTATACAGTGGACTTTTAATGAGTACTCTTTTAACTGTTATACAGGTTGGTCAATGAAAATGAAGTTAAGCAGTGGAAAGAACAAGCAGAAAAAATGAGAAAAGGTAAATGATGAAGACGTGCCACCAGAACACACTGTCGGTTATGGGTGACCTTCCGGAGCGAAGAGCACATATGTTCAGTTACTGGATGGATGGCCCTGCGGCCAGTGTCTCTGGGAGACTTGCATTGATCTTTCTCATTGCATCAAATAGCCTTTCTTGTTCCAGGTCTTAATGACATTTTGCAGTTTTTTTCCTCATTTAAGGTATTTTAGTTGGCTCACAGATTCCCAAAGATTTTATGCTTTTATTATCATGTAAATGTTTTGGAGAAGCTTATAATAGTTACTGTTCATTTTTTCATCAATTTAGTTTTTTTTTTTTTTTTTTTTTTTTTTTACGGAACCAGGGATTGAACTCAGGCCCTTGCACTTGCCAGGGAAGCGCTTATTCCACTGAGCCATCTCCCCGGCCCAATTTAAATTTTTTTAACTACAAGTCATCCGAACCCTTTTTTTCCCCATACCTACTTTTTAAAACAGAATATGATTTAAGAAATACAATAAGACATTCTTCAGGTTTGTCAAAATTTTAAGAGAGAAGTACTGGCCACCTAGTTACAACAGCCCAATTTTCTTCATACCAGTGGTACAAGAGGAACCATGTAGGAAATCAGCGACCATTGTAGAGATATGTGTTATGAAACATTAATAGGCCAGCTGTTAGTGTTTGAATATGTCTTTGATATTGTCAGTCAGCAATCAGTGCCAGAAACATCCGTGTTCTCACGCTATCAGCCACTGAAAGGTATGTGTGGCTTTGTGCTTCCTTCAGTGCACTGGCAGATTCAGGGCCCCTTTGTGAGGACAAGCATATGCCAGCCAATGCGCTCTCACCACACTGGTTAACGGACTTCCTTTTCCTTAGTTATTCAGTCCAAGTTATTCAGTCACAGCCAGTGACTGAATAGCACTCATCCCAGTATTTAACGTGCTGAAAAGAATGTCTGAGAGATGTTGTAGCATTTCCTTTCCTGTCATCACATGTGTCCTTTGCCATCAAACAGAAAAGCAAGGCCACCACTGATGGCAGACAATAGCAAGTATGAAATACTGTGGGGCCATCACTCCTCACACACATTCACGTTTCTCTCCCCATGCATCTTGCGTAGGAAGCTCTGCGGGGAGAATAGAGACATCAGCGAAAGGGTGAAGGAGGAGGCCAAAGAGAAAGTGAGCGGACGGATGAGTGGACTCGTCTGATGAGTGGATGTTTTGCTGATGTTCTAGAATACAGAGACTTGAGGCTGCAAGTTGAGAAAAGCACCTGGGCCATCAGATTGGAAGTTATTCTGTCACTTATTTGGCAGATATGTGGGAGCCACCGAGCCTGGTTCTGGGTGTGAGTCTCAGCCCTGCCCTCTGCTATCCTTGCAGCAGTGAGGGCTACCTCTACCTCATAGGGTCAGCATGAAGGCTGAAAGACAAGTCAAACAGAGTGACGTCAGCACGGTGTCCGCACAAGCTAGTTGCACAGCGCATAATAGCAACTGTTATAGGACCAGGCTGTTGAGGTGGCAAAGGAGAAGATCTCCAAGGTTAGAAAGGGGCAGCTTGGCTTAAAACATAGTGTGGATAAAGCGTAAAAGAGGAGAGATTGTAGATACTTTGAATTTTTTTTAGAAGGTTTGGGTAAACACACATGCTAACAGATTAGTCAGAGAGTGGAGGCTGACGAGAGGCAAGGAAATGCCACGGACCTGAAAAAGAGTATTTGAGGAAGAATTCTCCTCAGTGCATAGCACTCCTGGAACGTGTTCGGTCAAAGCTTAGTGAAGGTATGGTCAGTGGATGTGATTTGTGGAAAGAACCTTTGTGCTAGAGCTTCGCACGTCGAAATCCTCTGAGAGCGTTTGAAACTTTCCTGAGCCCTGCCTCGGCCTGCAGCACAGGCTCTTTGGAGCAGGCCCCAGGCTCCTCAGATGCTGACTTCTCACACAGCTGAGGTGCAGTCCTAGTGCCACTGTTGCTGAGGACGCGGCTCAGTGGACGAGCACTTGGTGAGCTGGGCAGGGCCTTGGGCTTGATGTGTAGTACTGAAGGGGGAAAGACGGTTACTGAGGAATGAGGTGGTGAGGAAAGACAGCGAATGGGACACCAACATTTTTTTGGTATGGATCTGAAGAAGTTAGACATCTGTGGAATGGTAGAAATGGGATGATGGGTGCAAGGATTTTAATGTCTTGAACCCCTTGTTACAAATTCCAGTTTTGGAGGACAGAGAAGAGAGAAGGTCAGAGGCGACATGAATTTAAAATGAGCTATCAAATTCAGAAATAGAGACTAGCTCTGTACAGCTCAGCCCCAGTGGATTATATCTCTAGTGGATTTATTGATATAAAAAGAGTAGGGATTAGAGCCAAGTATTTGAAATAAAAATCTGCAGCCTAAACTTCATTATTTCTCTTTCCCAAAGCTCATCATCCTGTCAGGAAGCTTTTTAGTCACTGGCCATGTGAATAAGCATTATGTTTAAACTGGACGTCCTGTTCCATTAGTGCAGGACTGAGGAAGTCAGCAAAACCCTGGCTAAGAGTCACTGTTCTTGCACGCCATGATGATTCTCGTGTTCAGCCAGCACCACTGCCCTTAGATGTTGAATACTGAGATGGCAACATTTTCTTTCCCAAAGTTCTAATAATCGCTTGCTGAAAACACGAGGCGCTGCAGGTGGCCTTCTGAGGGCCCCTGGAGCTGTGCAGAGCGACGCGGGGTCTGGCGGCCGTTCCTGCTCGCTCTGCAGACTCCTCCCTTTCAGCCGGACACCTGCAGGAAAGCTTGATCGTGCACACTTAATTTCTCCTCCTCGCATGTCTGATCTCTGGCCCAGGCTGCTTTCTCACTTATTTTCCCACTCCTCTGACAGGATTCGGAGGTAGCTGTCAGCCAGGCACAGTCCCTTCCACAAGCAGCTGCTCGCACTTTTGTTCATTCCCGAGGTCCCTTTCTGACATCTTTTATGGAACACCATTAAAGTTGCTCACGCACGCCTCCCTCCCCAAGGGCGAATGCTGCTCAGCCCCTGAGTAGCTCCCTTTAACGGGATGCAGAAATAACACTGACGTGACTGAGAGCCCCAGTCTCTGGATCACCCTCTGTCAGTTTTCCTTTCTAGAGAAATTGTTTGGGCTTTGCAGAACCTCCTGTTCTCATATCTGATTGTTCTCACATGTAGAGCACAATGAATTACAACAGAAACTGGAAAAGAAAGAGAGAGAATGTGATGCCAAGACCCAAGAGAAGGAAGAAATGATGCAGACCCTAAATAAAATGAAAGAGAAACTCGAGAAAGAGACAACTGAACACAAGCAGGTCAAACAGCAGGTGGCGGACCTCACGGCCCAGCTCCATGAGCTCAGCAGGGTGAGTGCGCTCCAGGGGCCGGCCTTCCCTTTGCTGCATCCCTGCTCGCCCCAAGGTGCCTCCACCTTGTGATGAGGAAGCAGTTTCAAGGGTCCCACAGTTCTGGCTACAATCATAAGACTTGCTTCCTGTGTCGGCAGAGGTCTGGGCTGTCAGTCCTGGCACCAGTCCTGTACTAAGAGCATAGGGGATTGCATTAGCTTCTTAACCAGTTTCATGAAAACAAGTTATATGATGGTGCAAGAAGTGAGAGAGATGTAATGCTTTGCAGGCGGGCATCTAGTGTCCCGTACAAAGGGCCAGCGCCACCAAGCCCATAGAGGCCCTGAAGAGACCATCTGACCTGGTAGCCCTTTAGGTCCCGTTGTCAAAAGTGTGGGTTTCCCTGTATGTACACTCAGTTTCACACAGTGAATTCTCTTCTTGCACTGATCTCCTCCTATTTTCATCTTTTCAGAGGGCTGTCTGTGCTTCAGTCCCAGGAGGACCCTCACCTGGAGCCCCAGGAGGACCCTTTCCTTCCTCCATGCCGGGTTCCCTTCTTCCCCCACTGCCCCCGACTCTGCCAGGTGGAGTCCCCCCTCCACCGCCACCTCCGCTCCCTCCTGGAGGCCCTCCGCCCCCTCCAGGGCCTCCTCCCTTAGGGATCATGCCACCTCCAGGGGCTCCAGTGGGACTGGCTCTCAAGAAGAAAAGCATTCCTCAGCCCACAAATGCCCTCAAATCCTTCAACTGGTCTAAGCTGCCGGAGGTGAGCCCTTCATTCAAATTTTCCTACATAGGGGTAGCATCAGCACCTCTTGTGTCCTTGCTAAAAGGGAGACACCTCTGGCCACTGAAGAGTTTGTCTTCAGGGTTTAATCCCTGGTGGGCCAGGCCAGCCCTACATCCAGGGGACTCTGAAACAGCAATGGAGACTGGGCATGGGAGCACACGCCTGTAATTCCAGCGCTTGGGGGGCTGCAAACAGGAGAATCACTACAAGTCTGATCTGTGTAATGAGACCCTGTAGACCCTACCCTAAATTGAAAAAAAAGTTTGTTTTCCGGCCTAGAAACTGAGGTTTCTCCCTAGCTCACATACTTAAGCTTTGGAAATGCAGCCATGTTGTTTGAAACTAGCTCATGTTAAACATGTAGGGTGAGTTAAACATGTAGGATGAACAGTTTAGGATAGGAGCACTTTAGAAAATAACTATGCCTGTTCTTTTTGTGTATAACTTTCTAACTTGATGTTTCTAGAACAAACTGGACAGAACAGTGTGGACTGACATTGATGATACCAAAGTCTTCAAAGTTCTAGATCTCGAAGATCTGGAAAGGACTTTCTCTGCCTATCAAAGACAGCAGGTAATCGCATGTGCTGTCCAGATGCCAAAATTGTGCAACAGTCACATCTTCACACGTGATCCCTGGGCCACCTGTCATGACAGTGCTGTGGCCAGCCTCTCGTCTCACGCTGTTTGGTCTGCACCAGTGTGTCCTGCAAGGCAGCATGGTGTGTGTACCTCTGTGTGTGTGTGTGTGTGTGTGTGTGTGTGCGCGCGCGCGCGTGCGAGTGCCTGTGCTGTGTGGGGAGTGTGAGCAGCTGAAGGCGTGTTAGCTCCCCTTGAGGAATCTCTGCTGGGATAAATGTCCAAGCCCTTGACTTGTGTAAGGACTTCCGGATATTACTACTGTGCTTAGGCACTGGATTGCCAGGAAAAAATATGGGTAGGGGAGTTGTGTAATTTACAGTGTCACCTCAAGATGTTTGATTTTGGAACTATTTTGCTTTATCTGATTTTTTTTTTTTTAAAGTTGTGTAAATACTACCAGAATCAGAATGCTTTTTGAAATAGATGGAATCTTAGCAGTGTGAGGCTCGGAGATGACGAGACTGTGGCAGTCACCTCGGACCCACAGCGAAGCTTAGAGACCCAGCACTGATGCTGCAGAGGCCGCACAGGGATGCAGACAGCAGAGGAGTGGGCCAGGCTGTGGCCACGGCGCAGAAACAGCCGTGTGGCACTTGCTGGCTAGCAGGCAGGCGGCATCCTCCTGAGCCCTCGTCAGTCTCCTGGTCTCTCACTGCTCCAGAGGCCTCCTTGCAGAGCTCTTAGGGTGGCTCAGAAGAAGCCACCAAGGGACCCAGGCACAAAGAACTCCAGAAGATCAAGGGAGCCAGGGCCTTGGGAATTGGAAAAGCAGACCAGGAACGGGAGACGCAAGGAGCAGCCGGCGAGGAGAGCATCTTGGGTCTCACAAAGAAGACAGTGCGGGCAGCTCCGCGGCCGCTCCCCTTGAGCTGCGCGGGAGGCCTCCACGCCCAGAGTGCAGCTCCTCCAGCAGACGCCTGCTTTCTCATCAGGCCACTGACTTGGTTCCCAAGGAAATAGGTCTCAGAAATCCCAGGCACCAAGGAGGAAGATGGACTGGGGCTGGCGAGCAACAAAAGCAAAAGGATTGTTTGTTTAGACTTTCACGATGACCTGTGATACACCTGGAATAGGTTGTGAAGGTGCTACTTAGCCAGAATATTCTACCCTAAGAGAAGCCAAGCTTCTCTTCAGTGCTTTTTGGCTGGTTTAATAGTGTATGCAAATAAAAGTGATTGCCTGCCGTAGAGACACGAAGGCTGAAGCAAGAGCCTGAGCTGGGCCCCTACGTAAGAAGGTGGCAGCCTGTGCAGGGTTATGCACACTGAATAAAAGACCCGGAGGAAAAGGAAAGCAAGATACTTGATCTTGTGAAGCGCAGCAGTGCATGCGCATAAAGACATCATCCCACAGGTTCTCTGGCCAGACTCATTCTTGCTGGGATGCAACACGTCTGTCTGTCTCCCTGCACCCACCCCAGGAGGTATCCCTGGCCCTCAGCATGAACTCGGAGGAATTTTAACAAGTTTCCTAGGAATTCAGATAATCTTCCAACATGGTCACCTGTTCCCTTGCTTGCCCCCTCCATTCCAGTTGCTGATCCTGACCCATACCAGGTCTCTTAGATGAGGACTTGGGACCTTAGAGGAGTCTATTAAAGGAAGGGAAAGCTGCAGTTGTTGTGAAGGATGTATTCAAGTCTGAGCATGTGGGCTGCGTTTGTTATGAAGGCAGGTGGTTGAAAGACCAAAGTTTACAAGACTCATAATTAATTGGGCTTGAGCAGAAGGTAACAGAAGGATGCTGCCAGAGCACTTTGGGACACATACATGGGCAATTCTCAGGAGCGGTTGGAGATGGGATTGCAGAGATCCCAGCAGCCGGATAACAGTCTCCTAGCAAATAGCAAGTCATCAGCAGTCACTTGTCAGGGTAGGCCAGAACACTTCAGCTGTGCCTCCCCCTCAGCAGACTGCTGTGTGGGATGAGCTGGGATGAGTTGTGACCGTCCTCAGCACTTCGTGGAGAAAACCTGAGGCACACCTGCTCAGCATAATTCAAGTGTCTTTCCTCTTTTAATTAAGCCACGGGGGATGAAAATTGTGAGATATATATATATATATATATATATATATATATATATATATATGTATATGTTTGCCAGATGAGGGCAATTTGAACCATTTTATTGAGTTTACTAAAAACTGAAAACCAGAAAATCACAAGATGCAGACACTACATGGAATCTGTAGGGTGCAGTGAAGCAAACAGTGCCGGCTGCAGAACGGCCCCTCATCTCCTGTTGGCAGCAGTGAGGACTACACGTTTTCCCATCTTGGCAGTGTGTTCTGCAGTCATACCCCACTTAACTGCTCTCCTTTCTACTCCCAAATGAACACTGGAACCTGTTTTTTCCACGGTGTCTCCTTTCTCCTCCCTCCAGAATGATGAAACCTTGGTCAAAACTCTCTGGACTTCAGGCCACTTACTTAGTTAATCAGTTTTTCAGAGCAGCAAAAGAATACATGAATACCATTACCTGCACACCTGTAGTAGGAACACTGCATAGTGCTCTTTAGAAATCACAGTGTCAGACTAGTATAATTTAAATTTTTAAAATTTATTTATTTATTTAGTACAGGGTCTTACTACCCAGCTCAGACTCCTAGTGATACTCTTATCTCAGCCTCCTTTTAATGCTGGCGTTACAGGCATGCACCACCACGCCTGGTTTTGGTGGCCTGCACGGCATGCAGTATCAGGGATTGAACCCGGGTCCTTGCACTTGCCAGGCAGGCATTTAGACCACCAAGCTATGTCCCCAGCTCCTTACACTTCTGAGTCCTGACCCATAAAATTTAAATGAGGAATGACAGTGATATATATATATATATATATATATAACATGCATGTAGATATAAACATGTATACATACATGAATATAGGCACATATTTATGTCTACATTTACATACCTATTGTAGAAAAGTATTTGAGAAATATGACAATCAGATATTTATATTATTTGTTTTGTCTCTAAAGTACTTCAAAGGATTCAAATACATTAAGCTATTTCCACAGGCCCATCATGTAATTTGTAGTATAAAAACAAAGATGAAAAATGTGTAGCTCATCATAATATAGACTGTAAGATGATGGCCAATATTGAGTATGCATTGTACTTTTGGTGCTGAATATGATATACACAGTTCCTTACTAACCTTAAAATTTAGCTCTCAAGAGTTCTTATAAGACCGGGGAGATGGCTCAGTAGAATAAGCGTTTGTCTGGCAAGTACAAGGGCCTGAATTCAGTCCCCACTTCTGCCAAAAAAAAAAAAAAGAAAAGAAAAAAAGAGTTCTTCTACTTTTTGTTGTTTAATACTTACTCCTAACTCTGTGAAGGGAATTTTATTTCTTATGCGATGGGTAATAAAAATATGACTTACTGTGAATTTAGTCTCCAAACAGGTGACACATTGAAGACCACAAAAGTGGCATAATTCTCGGTTTCTCTTTGTTCTTTGTCCATGGTTTTACTCATTATGAACACCAGACTTTTAGAGGATTTTCTTTAAATCCAGTTTTAAGAACATGACCACTCTTACTCAAAATTTTTTCAGCGTATATATCAAAAGTGTGGAGAGCTGATTATGTAAGCTTATGTGCCGCTTGAAATGGAATTTAATAGCATGCCATTAGTCTCCTGTTCGCATTCCAAAAGTTCATTTGAAAGTCAATTTTAATACAAACCTTTTTCTTCATTGAAACTACATTATACATGATTTCTAAGTCAGCCACAAGGGGTTTATTTTAATACGTAATATGAATGTAGTCCGTTGCGTGGTAGTAGTATTTCACATACAGTTAAACAGGGCAATGTCTGTTTTATGGGGACTTTTCATCCTGCTGTGCCGTAAATTCATTCCTGCCTGTCCGTGCAGTTAGCAGTGTAGGTGAGCTGGTGGCAGTACACCTACTAAGGGAGTCTGAGCTCCAGAATAGCATTGTGCCAGCTCATGGGTTCTTCCTCCATCTTGCTCTTCTCATGAGAACAACCTGCTTTTGGGGTCCTGTTGTCAGCACCTAGTACAGTATTGCAAAGCCTTTCTTCTCTGATTTAGCGAACGAAAGATAACGGCTGTTGCTGATGTGTAACATAAGTCATGGGGAGGGTCCCTTTTAAAACATTCAGGAGAATCTTTACTAAATGGTCAAAGCATTTTCCTTTTTATGTCTCTTCACAGTTAGTCTATAATCTTATTTGTATACCCCAAAATTATATTATTTAGGAGATTTATTTCAATATTCTTAGTCCTTAGCCTTGACATATGAAAGCAGAAGAAAAAATTGTGGCTAGTTTCTTTCTTCAGACCAACATGTAAGGCCACACGTTCTGTAACTAGTAAGAGGTAAGCCAGAGGTGTTTGTTTGTTTGGTACTGGGAATCAAACTGATAGCTTTGCACTTGCCAGGCAGGCATTGTGCCACTGAACTATATCCTCTGCCCAAGTCAGAGTTCTGTATAGACATTAGTATATGCATTTTTCCAGAAAGGGATGTCCAGTTTTTATCGGATTTACCCAAGTGTTTCCGCCTGATAAAGATGAGGACTCCTTCCTACAAGTATTACCCTTACACGCAGCTCTTATTCATGGTGGAGCCTGTCAGCACTGATTTCTGACAGTTCAAGTGCCTGCTTATTTATATCCTAAATCCTAAGCGCTACACCAGAAATACTTGGAAAAATCGAACATTCTCTCACGTGAAGCCTAATACAAGGGATTCTATCATATTTGATCCAAGCCAATTAGAAGTATCATTTTATTTTTTCTTCTGATTTTTGAGTGAATAAGGTTTCAAACTTATGTTAACTTGTTTTGTGTAATTAGGCCTAAAATAACATTATGATTTCAAATATGTCCTATCTAATTAAACTCACAAGCTTTGTTGTTTTATTTTTAAAATGCAGATTAATAGACCTTTAAATCAGTGGAATCTATCTCGGCATGCAGTATCAGGGTTCGAACCCGGGTCCTTGCGCTTGCCAGGCAGGCACTTAGATGGCAGTTGCTTAGACCACTGAGCTATCTCCCCATAGCATTTTTCATCCTCACCTCCAGACAGATGAGTGAGTTACTGAGCTTTTAGCTGCTGTGCTTATTGCTGCTGGGGTTTGCAAACGGGAGCTCTTGACTAAACTCTTCTGCACTTCAGCTGAGAAGCGAACAAGAGGAATAAATGAAGCAACTCTTTGAGGAATAAAATAATTGTATCATATAATTACAAGGATTGAGCTCATAAATGTGTCAGATACTGTGTAGATGCTTTACATGCAGCATCATATTTAATTCCAGTCATAATCCAGCTGTCAACACCATTGTGCAGATACAGAAACTGAGCCCCCAGCCCCACATCCATTAGGTGACAGCTGCCCGATTCCAGAGCACAGAACCTGTGCTAGAGATCAGAGGCTTAGTTTCCTCACAGTCGAAACAAGATTTGCCAGCAAGCTTAATAAAAATTTCTTCTTTGAAGACAAGATAATGAGAGCAGGATCTAAATTCATGTAGTATCCTTTCTCTTTAACAGAAGAAAAAGAAAAACCAATCAGGAATACCTCATGGAGTTCCTTCCACCATAAGTTTTTTTGCACTGGAAAGGAAACTGTTTTTACTGTCCCAAAGAAGGTCAGAGTAGACAGTTTGACAGTTATAATAGAGACAAAAGAAAAGCGGGGTATCAGAGGGGAGGAAAAGTTTCCTGTGCCTATTAACTTGTCCTTTACATGCCATGCAAGGAAGGCAGTCCTGCCTGAGTGGGCAGGACAGAGGAGGGCACGTCCTGTTTCCCACCAGGAAAATGATGTGAGCAGCGCACCAGTGTGAAATTGGCTCTGGCAATGCTATTGAGACCTGAAGGAATCTGCTGAGCAAATGCTAGGCAATCTGGTGGTGCAAGCTGTTGGCCCAGAGCTGGGACGGGTTTTGCACACCAAAGCTTTATTCATTCAGCATTGCAAAAATATGCATCGGAAGCTGTTACTTTCTCCTAATGTGTCAATTACTTCTTCCCCTTGACCCCAAGTCTTTTCTAAAGAGAATTTCAAGAGGCTCGTGTGCTCGAATAGCTCTGCAGCAGTTCAGACAGCCACGAATGGCTGCACCCACCCGGAATCAGCAATCGCCTATCAGTTGCCTGTTCTCTTTTCCCTCACACCCACTGCGGCACCTACAGGCCATGTCCGGACCCTTTAGGGTGTTCCACTTCTTTTAATTCTTTCTAGTAATACCAGAAGGCAGGAGGCTATTAATGACAATAACAACAAAAAGCATTTTTTTTTTGGTAGTATATAACAATGGAAAAAGTTTTCTCCAGTGATGAACTTAATTAATATGCTTTTGCTTCAACTGAAGATCAATGTGTTAAGTGAAGTCTAGCGGTTTTGTTTTCCTTTCCTTTTCTAAGAAGATTTGTTGATGAAAATCATCAAAATCAACAAATTTTGATGAAAATCCAACAGCTGGGATCTTTCTGGGATGTGCTAAGCCCATTTCTAAATTTGATTTGCCACCATTGAATATTGGGAAGAGTAAATGTTGTCCTTCTCTGCACCAAATGCTGTATACCATGTTTTCATTTTCTCTTGGGCCAGACTCTCTCCTTGTCATTAACTCTCACTGGTGACTCAGGGACATAGATCATCTTATACCCTGTATCACTGATTCCCCTGACTGCTTTGACTTCCCCCATTGTTGCTATGACTTCTGAATGGCATGTATCTGGTTTGCCTTTTCCATGCCTCTACCATGGCTGTAGGATTTCTCTGTGAACTCCAGGCAGGTAAGTCTGCTACTAAGTATGTGTTTTATGATACAACTCCTTAGCTCACTCTGAGCTTGAAATTTCTGGATTAGCTTGTTTGTTGTTATTGTTGGTGGTTAGATAGTACAGTTCCACACTGGATTTCACCTTTTAATGGAAGCGATGTAGATATACTTGAAATCTCAACACAGGAGATATCACATGTTTGATCCCATGATGCCTCATATTATAAATTCCATGTTGCTTTTGCTTTCAAACTTTCATGTTCTGTAATTCTTTGGGTTACTTACATTTGTAAATGCCATAATTCACTGTTAATTGGTCCTAATAGCTAATGAAAGCAGACTTCCAGTTTGTCAAGTTAGACTGTGTTTTCACCTTGCACTTTTTGTTGTAAGATCTCTATCGTGCAGTTAAGAATTTTATGCATAGTTGTCCTATGCCTGTTGCACTGTAAGTACAGCCGGCCATCATTGCTCAGCACACAGCAGGGTATGCCAGTAGTATTTGTTAACTCAGGTAACTGAATTAGTTCTGGGCTGCCCTGTCCCCACTGGACTCCAGGTAATGCAAGATACCTCTGGCCTGGTAACTTCCTGTTTGCACATGATATTTGGGAAGCCTTCTTATGCTGCTTTTTTGAGTGTTCAGGGCACAGACAGTTCTGGGGTGACCAGGCCCTGCAAATGGCTGGGCCAGCAATGGCAAATCTTTGCAGAGTTTGATTCATAGTGACAGCTCTTCTGTCTGATGTGCATAGGGATTCAGGGGACAACAGGACAGGTCACTGATAATTTATGCACACTTAGCATCTTCAACTTGGAAGCCCTTTGTTCTTCTAGGTGGTGCTTTTTCAAATGTGGGTAGTTGGTTTTTCTTACTTGTGTTTCTCTTTGCCAAGTAGGTGGTGGCCTTTCTTCAGCCTCACCACCTTGCTGCACTCCCCTCGGCACCATCTCTGCTTGGCTCGCGTGTACGCACACACACGTGTGAATGGATCGTGGAATCGAACACTCTTGTGTCTGAAGTCTGAATGTCACTGTTAGACTTTGATGAATTTCTTCTGTGCTCTCTACAGAAAGAAGCAGATGCCATTGATGACACACTGAGTTCCAAGCTGAAAGTCAAAGAGCTCTCAGTGATTGATGGCCGGAGAGCCCAGAATTGCAACATCCTTCTGTCGAGGTATTGTTAGTGTTGAATCAACATTTCTAGTAGGACCAGTATGACTCAAAAACACATTCTTCACTTGATTTTCTTAATTTTAAAAGCATCATGCTGAGGGACAAATCTTTGGGTCCCCTATGTTTTGGGAAGGAGAATTCTTGGTGTTTACTTTCCCTAATAGAATCTATTAGACCTCTTGGCAGTAGAGACATTTAAGTCTTTCACTAACAGTCATAGAATCAGGACTCATGTTGATAGTTCCTTGTTGTATTTTGCTTTTTAATATCACCTTTTTATAGTTTATGATTTCATGCTGTCGGGGGACATTTTTATGGCTAAAAAGATGTAAATCTCAAACATCAGTGAAATATTAATTTGTCTGGTTCAGCGCTATTCAGCAATCTCTCTCATAACTAGTGAACCATCATTGCCCTGAAACAGAAAGGAAATTGTGAGCGTGGAATCTGATTGCAGCTTCAAGCAACACTGTCAGGTCATTCTGGGCATTTCAAGTAGCTTTTCTTTATCTAATTTCTCCAAGAGGGACTTTAACATTAAACAAAGGAACCTATACTTATGGGGCGCATGAAGATACAAAGCATGCTGAATGTTGCAGCTTCAAAGACGACGTGCACTCTGGGAGGAGTGCTGTGTGCAATGAGTCTGTTAGAAGGTGACCGTCTTCCAGGGAGGGCGAGGAGGGAAAGCAGTAGACATTGTTACTTAAATGGTCTGAGACTGAGTTTCTTTTAACACAAAGAGCTGCTGCTCGGTTTTCAGCATGGAAGTTTGATTGTTAGCCAGATATATATTACTTTAGGGAGCAGATGTTTCTTTTAGTAAAAGATAAACTGAGCTTTAGTGAGACCCCTGAATTTTAATGCAGCTTGTAAGGTAGCATGAACCGCCCTGGGAGCATTTCCCTCTCCGCTAGCTGGAAGCGATGTAACGTCAGGCTCTGAATTTGTCCTGACGTTTGCTCCATGAATCATAGTTGGCTTGGAGAAGACATCTGCCTTAGGAAGGCACAATAACAAATAATGTAGGAGTCTTGTTTGTCTTCTACAATGCATCTGATTTGTTGCCTTTTTACAAATACCATTCTTCACTGAAGAATTAAATGAAGATTTAGGGAAAATTGTCTTTTTTTTTTTTTTTTTGGTAGAGTTTCTCCTTATACTTAGTGCTTTTTCAGCAGATAAGCACTTTAATGCAATTTGACAAAGGGAGCTGTCACCCTGGATTTCCATAGTGTTGAAATGCTTGTATAGTAAAAACTGTGATCTAGGTCTTCATAGACTATTCCCAGTTCTAAGTACCTGCTGGGGTAATTACACTCATTATAGAGAAGGTTACACCGATGCCTGGCAAATATCCTATTTGATTGTTGAAGGAATTATTTCATATTTATGGTATATAATTCCATGTTACCTCAAAAGTATCAGAGTATGAGGCGACTTAAAATTTTTGTGTCTAAACCCTCTCTGAAAGACAATTTTAAGAATTTATATCTGTTAGATTACCTATTAAAGTCCAGTTCAGTGAACAAGTGTTAACACAGTGAACACAACTGAAAAGCATCGTGGGTAGTAGAGGAATTTTGAGTTCCCCTTGGTATTGGTGGCCCATTCATCGGGTCACAGACTTTCTACAGAGGACTCAGGACCATGTCTTTCTTGCTTAGTCATTGGTTTTATTGTCTGTCAGGAAAGCACATGGCTGACACCTGGAGAGTGCTGTGGTGAAGGTGAAAGAAATCAGGCTGATTTAATTTTAATTTGTATTTTATTTAGTTTCTAATCCAGTAAGGAATTTTTTGTTCTTTCTCTTTTGTGAATTCACTCATTACTGTGCACAGAAAGGAGGTAGAGACTCAAAGAGAGACGAGATGTATACAGGCCTGTATGAGGCCTTTTTCTTGGTCACTTCTGTGGGGCGTATATTTGTGTGGCACTGTGCTAGATCCAGTAGGATTTACCAAAGTGTAAGATAGTGTTGCTTCTTTTGAAAACTCAAGGCTAAGTGGAGAAGGAAAATCCTCTACAGGTAAGAAAACAATTCCAAGATTGCAAGAGTATGACTCGAAGGACACAGGAAGTCCAGCCCGTGAGAGAGGGGTCACAGTTTATGAGAGAGAGCAGGTCCTGAAGGGCAGCCACAGTGCCATCAACAGGGGCTGGCGAAGCAGCTCCGAGGAGGCTTGGTGCGCTGGTGGAGAGCCCTCCACCGCAGCAGAGGACCGTCGCCAGCGGACCCTGAGCTTCCTGGCTTGGCCTTTATAAGGGCATGTGTCAGCCAGGGCCAAGTCCTAGCCTCCTCTTCTGTAAAAAGGAAATGGATCTAGGAAAGCTTCGTTTTCCAGCGGACTTGTGAGATGCCCTAGTACATAGAGGTCCAGGCAGGGGCCTCCACGTGGCAGCCATTCAGTTGGTGACTTCTTTGTGTCCATGGGATCAGGAATGGTGCCGTTTGTTCAGGAAGCAAACAGTATTTGCTTTAATGTGTTTCAACATTTAGTCTCAGAAGTTTATAGATGAGTTGGAAGGAGTCATAATCTGGATGCAAAGGGAACCTCAGGTCCTTCTTTCTCTTAGGTGAGACCTGAGGAGGGACAGAACTGAGAGGGGAAGAACCCCTGGTAGGACTTGGGCCTGAATTAATTCTTACATTTACCAAATTAACATGACAAAGAATAGTAGAGTAGTCGCATTTCAAAGCTGATGTCATTCCCTATTTACTAACCAACCCCTTTCTTCCCTGCTGGCTTCATTCTCAAAGTTGGTGACCCTCTCTGTTTCTTACCTGGCCAACTAGGGATTTATTTTACAGCAGCCTATGCTCTGATGCCAGCTAGAATGAAAGCCTATTCCTGGGCAGTGTTCTCACAAGCACATGTGTCTCAGTGTTTGGTTTGCCTTCAGAGCTTCTCCTCATGTGTTACAGAAGTTACAGGCCTCTTGGCTAAACGGGGCCTGCCTCAGCTTTATCCTGGGCAAGCAGATAGGCAGCATTCCTTGTGCGTGTGTAGTAGACTGGGTACTTAGAGCTTGTGGGGTCAAAATCATTTGAACTCCTCAAAAAAGTCAGAGGACATGTGAATTGAGCAAGGAGCTCCAGGACCCAACTACTATGCTTTTCAGAAAGGTATGTGGAAAGTGGAATGGGTGTGCCACGCCTCTGAATCTTCTAAGAACTTGCTTCATTCCCATTAGACTGTCTCTTAAGATCCAATTTAATAAATATGTTATTCTAATAGGCCCTCAGCAGAGTAAGTAGCTTCCCAACTATGTGTATTTTGGTGACATACACCAATCTAAAATTCAACTTTAATTCCCCCAAACAACCTTCTCCCTACAAAAAAAAGAAAGAAAAGAAAAGAAAAGAAACTTGGAAGCAAGTTTAAACTGCAAAATGAACCCACCTAAAATGCACTTTAATGAAGTGCTCTGCCATTCTTTTTCTTCAAATACTCACTTGACATGGCAGCTGGGGTGTCATAAAGCACCAAACGCTACTTTAAGACAGAGGGATTTGGCTTAAATCCGTCAAAGCAGAGCTAAGGCTGGTCCAGCCATCCATTCTTATTTTAATTACTCCTAGATGTTCCAATTCTAAAAGCAAAATTTTTAAATACACAAGTTGAAGAAGGTAAAATTAAAGGCTTTTTAAAGATGACTGGTTTGTTTCCTGCCTTGTGAAGGCAGCTGAACTAAGTATCTTCAACATTGTCACCCTCCAGTTCACCAGAACACTGCCAAGCTTTAAAAGCAATAAAAGGCTAGAGTTGGTCGGCTCCTTAAATTACAGAGATTAGAGACTCATTCTGTGGATAACAGATGATACTAAGAATTCTGCAACCTATAGAAGCATCCCAGGAGGCCGTGTACCCTGCTCCCCTTCCCCTGGGTAAGGTTTCCTTTGTCTGATCCAGCAGGCCACGTGTCTGGCGGTAGCTTGACAGGTAGATTTTCTTAAGTACCAGCCATTAGCGTCTCCAGTCTCTTTGTGGGCCACATTAACAGAAAGCAGAATTGTTATGAGTTAGAGCTAGTGTTTAGTACAGACAGCCTCTGGGAGTTGAAGAACATAAATATATACAATTTCAAAAGCATGAAGTTCTGTACTCCACATGGGGACCTAGTGAAAGGCAAATCTGATTCTTCAAGTATTGTTCTCACTGTGATTTTCAGTGCATTTTCCTTTAAATGTGAAACAGAGCGCTCCACAGAACGACACCATAAGATGTTTGCTTCAAGTTGGTGTGCAAAGGCTGCAGACTCGTTTTTTTCTTACAGGCCAATCTCTTCTGTGCCGATGATAGACGTTTCCCCACTAGCTGGCTCCCCATGTGGCAGTCGCAGCTTTCCACTCGCGTTGCTTTCCTTGGCTTCCCAAGGCTGTGCCGTGGTGCTGTCCTCAGGGTGACGCACGAGCCTGTGGCCTCCGGGCCGGGCTGCCCAGCCTGTGCAGTTGGGCTTCTGGTGCTGACACTCTTTCCGGCTGCGTACTTTGCCTGGGCCAGCACAGCAGAATTACTCCATTGAATCCTGGGCATTTACTGTTGCGGTGATTAGGAAAAGACATTCATGAGGCACTTAGCTGTCCCAAGAATTACTGAAGTCAGCTGGACAAGTCTACTGGTACCGAGGTTGCTGTCCACAGCCCAGGAGCCATGAAGCCGCTGCAGAGGAGACAGGCTGCGTGGGCAGGATGGTGCTTCCCTAGCTGCTGTGCGTAGCGGATGATCTAAAAGTGCAGCGTTTACTGTCGGACCTTATTGATATGAAAGACACATTGCTGCTCATCCGCCTCAGAATCATCCACCTCACTTTGAGCACTTAGCCCATCGCTCTTGCCTCTTTGTGAAGCAGTTTTGGAAGTCCTTTTTGTGAGTGTCTTCACTGTGCTGTTGTGGCTTCTCGGGTGTGCAAATTAGTTCAGAATGTTCACCTTTTCTGGTGATTTGACTGTGGAGAAGAGAATCACAGAAGTCACATGGTGGCAAATTCACCTAAGGCGGATGAGGACACACTGCTGCTTTAAGGAGCCTGTCTTTCCAGCAGCACCCTTCACCATATGTTTTATCACACCTCCTAAGTATACTCAGTCTTTTTAAACCTTCCAGACCTGAGGTGAGAGACAGGGAGGACACCGGGGAAGTAATGCGTAAGAGAATAAAGGTCACTTTTCTGGTAGAGAAAAGTCTTCCTGATCAAGCGTGTGTGTAGTTTATGGAATCGTTCCTGTGGCCAGTAAATGCTTCACATGGACTGGTTAACTTCGTCTGGTGTGTACGTGCCTCTGTGCACACAGTCCTTAGTTGGGTTTTTTTTTTTTTGTTTTTTTTTTTTTTGTTTTTTGTTTTTTGTTTTTTTGCAGAACTGGGAATTGAACTCAGACCCTCGCACTTGCCAAGCAAGCACTTATTCTACTGAGCCATATTCTAATCTCCCTAGCTCCCTAGTCCTTCATTTTTTTTGATGTAGTTATTATTCCTCTTTTACAGATGAGGAAACTGAGGCTTTATAAAAAAGGAATTTCAAGGTCTCACTGACCTTGTGATGTCGGAATAATAGCTGACACTGAAACCCCTGTTTTCAAAAGTTACATGTGACATTTCCACACCTTGCTCTTTATTGTGCCTTCATGTCTCAGCTTCAGTCCTAAGTGTTACTCTTGGAGCACATATGCTGCAGAGGAGCGCCGCAAGTGAGCTTGAGATGCTGCGTTAGTGTAGCTTATTAGGACGTAGGCTGTGAAGCCGGGCTTGGGGCACATGCCTGAAATCCCAGAGCTAAGTATATTTTAGTTTTGTAACCTGTATGTTTTCTAGTCAGTTGTCTATTCTTTTCAAGGCCCAGGTCACTAGTTGAATTAATAATTCATTTAAGTTTTGTTAGTTTGTTTGTTTTGGTGGAAACAGGGATTGAACTCAGGCCCTTGGTTTGCCAGGCAAGCACTTATTCTACTGAGCCATCTCCCCTGCCCCTCTCATTTAAGTTTATGATGGACAGAAAAATGGGAAAACAGATTGGTGCTTTTGCCTGAATCCTTCCCTGTGATGTATTAACTAGATAAGAAATATTTGTGTTTTGTTTTTGTTTTCTAATTGGGGAGGAGCAGTCACAGGAGAGCCTGAGCTTGCGGGCTCTGTCACTTTCTTTGTTTGACCTCAGGCAAATCACTTGGCCATTCTGAGCTTCAGTTTCTCTGTCTGTTAAAGGAGAAGACAGTTAAATAATATATGTGACAGTGCTTCAGCTATGAATTGTAGATATATTTTATTTTGCATATTAACTTGGTTAGCTCTTTAACAGTAACATGTAATTTTTAATATTCTCAAAATGCATTGTAACCTGCCTGCAAAATGCGGTAGCCGTATCATTATCTCAGGAGCTTTCTCATCCCACCTACAGTTCATGGGTGCGTATGGAGATGAAGACAGCTGCGTGTGAGTGCTCTCCCTAGCGCTAGCCCTCCAATCCTGAGCTTTAGGAAACTACGTGGTAGAACACAGCAGCTTTGTTCTGTGTCTTTAGAGCATTACAAAGCCCTGAAAGAATGTTAAAGCAAGTTCAACGCCTTATTTTCAGTTTCAAAATACTATTTTGTCAGGAAGTAAGCTTTTACTGATTGATTTTGTGAAAACTCTTGCTTGAAAACTGCAGCTGGGGCAGCAAAACAAGTTATCTTGTATTAAAATTTAAGATTCATGCCAAAGTTACTAACAACATATTAACTATTCTTTCTCCAGGTTGAAATTATCCAATGATGAGATCAAACGGGCAATTCTAACGATGGATGAGCAGGAAGATCTCCCCAAGGACATGTTGGAACAGGTGAGTTGCCAGACATTTATTGGAGTCAGAGTGCCGCCTTTTAGCAGGGAATGGATAGTGAGAAGAATCTGGTTATTGCTAATAATAATTCCACACCTCTGAATTGAGCAGATTGAACCACCATTCCACATGGCTCTTTTGAGAAACTTTATGACATGGTTTTCTCATTGTTTCTCAAAATGACTGCTGAAAGGCGTCACAAGTTTATCAAAACCTTTGACCCTTACTGCCAGATTCTGTCCCTTGAGCTACAATTATGTTCTTTTAGTAGCTCACATAAGTATACGGCCTCTTGTAGAAAATACATGTTTCACAGGAGAATCACACTAGCTCTATATGATTACAAACTATACTATGTAAACTGATTCATTACTAAATTCTTAATATGATTTGTGCCTGGTCTTGGCTCGTCATTCCCACAAGTGCAAAAGCCACCATTAAACCACAGCATTGCTTGTTATAACCAGCCATGTGTCATGAGGTGAATTGCCACATTCTTGGAGCTAAGTCTTATCTCTGTTCAGGTATGTCATTCTCTTCTGTCATAAACAGCAGTAGATCTAACAAGTGGAATGGAATTTTCACATACTATACATCCTTGTCCCCAGCCGAATTTTATTATTCATAGCCACGTAGGCGGTCTCCTCTTGTGTCCCGTCCCTCTTTGTAGTGTGTCGTAGTGCCTCTGCTTAGCCACTCTGGCTTTGTCTGGTATTGCTCAGCAGCTTTGTTCAGTTGTCCCAAGTGACAGTGTTGTTCCTCTATACCATGTTCCCGACCTTGTCGCCTGTCTTGGTCCCCTGCCCCTTGACCTGAGCCTATATTTTTCTGAGCTCTGTGGTAACATTCACAGAATGCTCTAAAACTGTTCTCTCTTCCTGTCTCATTGTCTAGGGGGTAGAATCAGAGTCTTTTGTCAGAGTCATATCCAACTTAAGGTTGACTATAGGCACAAGAGGCCATGGTCCCAGGCCAGATGCACAGTCTCACCTGAATCGTGCTCAGCTCCTAGAGCAGAAAGCAAGGGTGTTTTGCACTGATAACCATGGTCTAGCTTATGAGCGAGGTCTTCCAAGGAGAGAACCTCCCTCTTCATATGCATTTTCTCTGGTCCTCCCTGATGGCCTTGGAGGCCTCAGACATAAAGCAGAAAGGAGTTATTTATATTGTGTCACACCCCGTGGACCTGCAGTTGGAGTCATCCTGGGTGAAGACCTGCATACGCAGCAGAAACACCAGTCATGCTGTCCGCTCAAGGTTTGGTTTGTTGGAGTGGTTAATGACTGCATCATAGGGCTCCGTGGTGCCCCGCGTGGATGGCTTAACGGCATCCCCACCCTCCTAGAGTGCGTTCCAGCACTCCACAGTCTGCTCTCCCTCACCATAATCCAGTCACAACCACCACTGGCCTGGGACAGTGGCGCCAGCTCCCTTCAGCCCTGTCCGGCTCCAGGTGACCCGGCCTTCCAGCTGCTAACTGGAGTGAAGGACTATGGAAGCTGCTGCGGTACTGCTGCCCTTTGGCCCTATCGACAGGGTCATATATTTAAAATTCCACGAGATCTGTGTACTGTGAAACTGCATCCAGCAAAATTCCTCCTTGAGGGAAAGGATTCCAAAATCTTGCCAAAAGCTCTCACAGTGCAAATAGAACATATTTCAAATAAACACAAGTAAGAAAATCTGTCTACTGACGCAGAATCTGGCCAAGAAGTATTTTGACCTGGTCTCGCCTGATTCTTCTGTGAGATCTCTGCTTAGCTCTCACGCTCTTTCTTTCTCCCATTTTTTACTTTTCTTCCTCTTCTCCCCTTTATTCTCTGCCCCACTCTTCCTAGATAGGTTTTGCTGCCTGCCTGTCTTTCCCCCATTTGTGATTCGCATTTAGGTTCCATCTCCCTCTTCCTGTCTTGCTGCCGTGGCTGCCGAGCTCAAGCTGCAGATGAGATGCGCGCCCCTCTTCCTTGAGATCATCTCTCCTGCCTGCTCCAAAGCCTCCCCATTGCCCTCTTAGAGCCCACAGTGCCTCACTCAGCACTCCTGTGAGAGGGCGGAGCCTTGGGCATGTGCCTCTTGCTGCCGCATTATACTTGAAACAAGTAGACAGGTGAGATGGGCTGTGCAGGTTGCCAGGAGGACCCCTGAGACTGGCACTGAGTTCTCTTGCCCACTAAGCAGCGGTCCAAACTGGTGGAGAAAGGCCCAAACCTTTCTCTCCCTCTCCTCCCCGCTTCTCTTGCCCCACTACCTTCCTCTCCTTCCACACTGAGAAAGAACACACGTTGTGTAGGTGCTACCACTCCAGCAGGCTTCTGCTGTCTTCTCTTCTACCCCTTTCAGAGAAAGGGGCTGTCGGCCTCTCCTCTGGCCCTGTGCCTCCTTTCTGCTCAGCCGTATTGCTGACCTGGGGCTCAGCCCTCGTCCTGCCGACTGTCATAGCTGAGCCTGTAATGCGTATGCGCACACGCACACACCCCAGCTACTGTCTCCTCTCTTTCCAGCACAGCTGAGCTTCTTGGGAACTTGTCCTCACTCACTGCCTATTCATTTATCGTCCCCTTTCTCACCTTCCTAAAGCTGCGGCTCCCCTGGCCCCGGGCTCTGGCTGTGCCCGCACAGCCTCCTCACCGGTTCTACCTCCTCTCGGCCTCATCCCTTTCGTGCCGTTTTTCTCCATTTCTGCTTTTTCCTAAGCACAGTCGCACATCCATGCCTTGCTGCTACAACAGAACAGCTCTCTTTTTTTTGTCTAATGAATGTGTATATCTTGCAAGGAAATCAGACACATTCAGAAGTACTTTTTCTGGTTTTTTGATTTTTTTCTTCTTGAGACAGGGTCTCACTATGAAGTTCAAAGTGGCCTTGAGCTCTCTTTGTAGCCCAGGATTGTCTTGAACTTATAAGGATCCTTCTGCCTCATCCTCCCAAGTGCTAGGATTATGGGCACGTGCCACTACCCCCAACTCCACTTTAAATATTGTTGCTATTTCTGTGTTGTTTTGTTTTGTTTTGTTTTGTTTTGTTTTTTGGTATCAGGGATCGAACTAAGGACCTTGCGCTTATGAGGCAGGCGCTCATGCAGCTAAGCTATCTCCCTAGCCCTCTGTCACTGTTTCTTCTTATGCTGTGCTCCTTTCATCCTTCAAAATGAAATATGGAATCAAAAATGTCAGATCATATTGTATTCCTCTCATTCAACTCTACATGAATTAATCAATTACATGGAATTAGACAAACAGAAAAATAAGAATTGGATGGAAACCACAGTGGAACTTTTCTTTCAGCCATGACTTAACAGGAAGAGGCACGGAGCTAGGAGACTAGCCTTCTGTTTCTGACCTGCACACTGCTCAAGCTGTCCTCCGGTTAGCTGCTTCATTGCTGCCCTCAGTCGTAGCCTTTTCCCACAAGGGTCGCGTCCCTGAAGTCCCTCTGCAGATGGGGCTAGAGAGGACATCCTCAGGGCTTACTTGAGAGGCTATAGAAATTAGAAAGGTGCCAGAGTGAGCTGTAGACCAACTTAACTACTTTGAAGTAAAAATATAAATATTTCATCATTCCCATTATATATGAATCACCTGCAGCAGAAGTTACAATGCTGAAGTTAAAAAGTTCATCTTGGGACACATGAGCTAGAAGTGTGAAAATGTCCTACAGAAGTGTAAGTTATGAACTTTGATTTTAATGTCTGCTTTTAGCTTTTGAAGTTCGTTCCTGAAAAAAGTGATATAGACCTGCTGGAGGAACACAAACACGAATTGGACCGGATGGCCAAGGCTGATAGGTTCCTTTTCGAGATGAGCCGGTGAGTGAATGAAGCCCTTCCCGTACTGAGAAAGCTAAGCCTTCAGTGTGAGTGCAACTGCATGGACCAGTTAACCTGCTTACCTTAAAACATTTGGAGATTCTAACTGTTTGTTCCCAAGTCTGAGCTGCGTGGACTGTTATTGATGTTTTGCTGCCCTGAGTTGTAACCTGAGGGTGAGCCAGGGCCAGTGTTTCTCCCCAGCACTCTCATTTCAGGCCTCCATGGTTATGTGCTGTGACCTTACTGGGTCCTAGCTCTTCCTTGTTCCAGTCACTGCTATTGTCCTCACCACTTTGATTTCCTGCAGTAGAATCTCACACTTTCTTGTACCTTGGCACTTCAAGTTGTGATAGAATAGAAAGAGAGGGCGCAGACTTTGGCTTGTCAACCTCAAACTCCCATAACTCAGTGGCCAGGGTCTGGATGTCAAATTGGGACAAATGCAGACCTCACCAGTTGACTCAGGCACGCCTCCAGCAGAGCGTTGGGTGCTCTGGACCCTTTTCTGAGAGTGCAGCAGCCATTGATGTGCGAGTAGGTTGGCATGTAAGCTGGGTCTCACCCAGGCGTGGCACGGCAAGCTGATTGGGCATTGGAGAAGGACCCGTGGTCCTAAAGCCCGTGACCACGGGCAGAGTTCCTCACAGTGCCAAAAGCCAGTGAATGCAGCCCTGAGCAATGTGGTGCTCACATTCTATCACTGCCATGTGCAGCCTCACTGTGTTGTTGCTGGTGTTTCTTCACAATTTGCCATTCTGTATGCTGCAGTTGAACAAAGATTCACTCTGAAATATTGACAGGTACACCGAGTCACCCTGAGTCTAGACAAGCAAGGGCCATCAGAAATAGCCACCCCTTACCGAGCACCCAGAGCTTTGTGCTGGAGGAGGTGGTAGGGAAGAGAGCGGGACAGGCGCTCTTCCATCTCCTGACAACAGAAGACTCGGGGAATGGGAATTAAAGGCAAGCATCTGAGCTGCACACCGGGTTTGCTAAATTGTGTACCAGTTTGAAAAAAGCGCAATAGCTAGTCCTGCTGGACTGATGCATCCTCCCCAGGCAGGTCAGAGAACGCCCAGTGGAACCCCCAGCAACAAGAGCAGCTCAGCAGCAGTCATCAAAGGCTCCATGTGCCCCTGTTTCTCTAGTCACTGTCTGGGAAGGCAGAGCTTGCCACCACCACAGGGAACTGAGGCCAGGGAGAAGAGCTTTGGGGGGTGAGGGCAGCATGCTGTGGGGAGACGATACTGAACACTAGTCTTGGCAGTTTTGCCACAAGCCACGTTTTGTGAAGAGTTAAACTTGGGAGAAGCATAGAATGTTGCCCTGCATTTGCAGTAAGTAGTCTTTCCACTGTTCCTCCTTTTCATCTCTGTACCTGTCACTTCAAGGGAAGAATGGCAGGGCCATCAACAGCAGCTGGCCGCCCCTTGTTGGCGCTCGGGTGGGGCTTTGGCCCACGTACCTTGTGTCGGTCAGCACAGATGGGCTCACGCTAAGGGACCATTAATCAGTCCGTACTTGCTTTCACAGAATTAATCATTATCAGCAAAGGCTACAGTCACTGTACTTCAAAAAGAAGTTTGCAGAGCGTGTGGCGGAAGTGAAGCCCAAAGTGGAAGGTAAAAGCTGGGCTCTGGCTGCCTGGGAGGGCCGCGTGTCTCATTGCTCCCTTACAAAGCTGGAGCAGGTGCACATAGGCAACAGTGCCCTCCTGCTGATTTTCTTACTAGAAGCCTCTCTTTCGAAATGTTAAGGTCAGCACTTGGCCTGCTGGCCACGCCTGGGCTCTTTGGCTGGGCTGGGCTGGGCTGGGCTTTCGATCCCACGTGCGTAGCTCGGGGACTAATCTGACCGCTGCTAGCAAATAACACATAATTGGCCCTCTTGCAAGAAGGCCTTACTGAATTTTCTAAGGGTAGAGTTGAGACTTTTAAATGTTTGAGATGTAGCTGAGGCCGCCAAAAATCCCTGCTCCTGAGTGTGAGCTGGAATCGGCCTCAGAGCACTGGGCTGTTGCAGCGCCTTGAGCCATAATGTCACAGGTGTGACCAGTTCTCTGTCAATGGGATGATGGAAACAGCAGACAAGTAGTGCCGGCCAAGGAATTTGGAAGTGGCACTGGTGTGCTGTGTATTCTTGGACACTTAAGGTTGAGTCAGCCCAGAAAAGGATGAGGAAGGCGAGCAATCCCCAGCTGCCTGTGGGGTCTCTAACCATCGGAACTGTACCTCATGCCTTGGCTTGTAGTTCAGGTGTCTTCAAGGTGTTCACTGGCAGTCTCATCAGTTGCCCTGACACCTTAAGTCTGTTGTATCTGCTTGGAATGTGTCTTTAGGATGAGTGTCATTGAAAGTCTTACCCAGGGGTCGTAAATTGTGTTTGTTTGTGCTTCGTTTTGAAGCTATTCGCTCTGGCTCAGAAGAGGTGTTTAAGAGTGGTGCCCTCAAGCAGTTGCTGGAGGTGGTCTTGGCATTCGGAAATTACATGAATAAAGGCCAGAGAGGCAATGCCTATGGATTCAAGATATCCAGCCTCAACAAGATTGCTGACACAAAATCCAGTATTGACAAGTAAGTACAGGCTCTGCTGGCACTGAGGCTGCTGGTACTTGGGCAGGTGCGGGGCTCCCCTTGCACTGCGACTCATCTGTCGTTCCTGTGTTGAACTTCACTTTCTCTCCTCTTCTTCTGATAGTGAGTCCTCTCTCCCCTAACTGAGTGTCCCCAAGTTGGCTTCATCCATTCTCAGTACATAGGAATTCCATTTATTGCAAGTTGTCCTTTATTAGACTTTCCTTTTTTGGGGGGGAGAGGGGCAGACTTTTAAATTATAACATAATATACTAAAGAGAAGCCCCTATGCCTAAATGTACAGCTTGATGAATTTTGACACATCAGATACTCCTGTACAACTGAGATGGAGAAGCATCACCGCCAGCTCTCCGAAAGGCTTCTCCTGATGGTCGCTACCTGTACCGAACCCGATGTTGATCAAGTTGAGAGCTGTGGCTGGATTGTGAAGCTTGTTGGTTTATAAGTTGCATTTGCCTTCACGTTAGAGCGAACAGCTATATGAAAAAAATTGTCATCATAAATACATTTTGTCCATTGCTATCAGCTGCTCATCCCAAAACTCATTAAAATGCTTCCTAGAAAGTGTTCAGCCCTGAAGTTTAGCTGCACAGATTCCGGCTGGAAACACCAAAGTGTGAAAGCGCTGTCATAAACAGGTAGGGCCTGTATGCATACTAACCCTCGTCTCTGTGAGGGCTCCTTCTCTGATCGGCTGACTGCAAAGGAACTTGCACAGCTGTTTCGAAGGTGAGCGTCTCTGTACCTAAATTCCCCTCAGCAGTGCGGCTTTGCATCCTAATGATTCCTAGCTCCTGAGGCTCTGCCCTGTACTTCTTTAGGGTTAGTGCAGCAGGTGTATGACAACCCTTGAGCCTTTTCAGAGCAATACACTGTGTGTTAGCTGCTGTGCATCGTGGGAGACACAGAGCAGCCGCTGTGCACATGGCCCCGCCGCTGTGCTCTGCTGTGCGTGCCTGATCCTTTTCATAGCACGGCCACATCTGCTGTCATGGCAGCCTGTGCCGCTCAAAGCCAAATCTGTTCTACCTGTAAGGAAACAGGCAGCCTCCAGTGGCTCGTGTACCTTGCCTAAATCACAGCAGCAGGGTATTTGGCTTCATGTAGCATCCGTTCTGTTGGTCTGCATTCCTGCCCACAGGGGGATCGTATTCCAAGATGTAGTAGGGACCAGTAGCCTCTTACGTGTGTATAAAGACCGTCCACCTTTTCCAGAAGGCTGTTCTTTTCACCTGCAGGTATAGGCACTACCGATACACTTACAAACCCGAGTCACCCACCTTACCCTGCATTAGTAACTTGGTGTTGATGTGGTTATCTGCTTTTTGAGGTTGCTATTAAATGTATTTATTATGTAAGCCTTTTTTAAATGAATAAATCAAAATGATTTCTCCTTTTCCTTTTTCTCTGATGTGTTGGTTCCCCCAGTGCAGTACCACGATGTATGAACATGCAGTGCCTCACCAGTAAGCAGCAGCGTGCAAGAGAGTGAGTCAGTGAGTGAGCCAGTGCAGCGGGGCCAGCGCGCGGCACCGAGATGCGAGGTCTGGCAGCTGCCCGGCACCAGCCAGTTGTGCAGCTGCTCAGTCAGCGCTTGTTAAGAATTTGTGTTTAGTCAAGTGAGGTGCTTTTCTGCATAGCAAATAGTGAGATTTCTGACCTGGTTTCAACCCTTTCTACAGTAAGAAAGGAACATATCATTCATTAAGTTAGTAGAAACTCCCCAAAGACAATGAGAAGAGCTAGCGGAGCCTCCTCTGGTTATGGTAGCAGGCATTTAGCTCGCTGCCTTGGCCCTGTGGGCAGGAGGCGTAAGGCAAGCTGGTTGATTCTGTGACCAGCAAAGCTCACATGGACAGACACACTTGTGGCCAGAACTGTTGGCTGTGTTTTTGGTGTGCCAGGCAACTGTTTTCTAATTAATGAGAAAGGAAGAAGGATTTTCTTTTTTTTAATGTGAGTCACTAACTCAAGAATAGAATTTTATGTCCCTATGAAGCCACCAGGGTAACCAAAAATGCTTTTCATTGTTATGGAAAGGAAAATTGTTTGGCAGCTGTGATTCTCTTTGGCTAGAGGTGGGCTCAAGTATTGTGAGTTAGCTTCTTGAATTAGCAAATGGCCTAAATTACAGAAATATTTTTAAAGTAAAGCATTTGTATCCTCCAGATTATGAGAACCTCAGTGGATTGGTTCTGGACCTACTGGCATGTTGGCATCACCGGGGACTTTTAACAAATGCCCATGCCTGGCCTCACCTCATTCCAATGAAATGACTCTGAGGGTTGGCCGAGGCGTCTGGAGCCCAGGTGACTATAATGTGTGGCAGTCAGTGACAGGGGGACCAGATGAACACAGCTTTGCCTGTGTTGTTGTCACAGTGCCCCCTTCAGCTCAGGTCAGTCTGAGGTCAGCCCTGTCACCGCCACAGAGGGATCTGGCACAGCGAACAGTTGTAACTGCTGCTCAGGGTTGTGCACTGAGGAGCCGAGTATGTGTAATGCTGGTTTGTTGGTCATGAGTTTCTTGAGGTGCTCCTTAGGGGGGAAATTACCTTATTTCTCCATCAATTTTGAAGGAACGTTTTCAAGATACGTTATTCTGGGTTGAAAGTTGTCTTGTAGGGCTTCACACATTTCCCTCCAAGCCCTCTGCCTTCAAAGTTTGCATTGAAAAGTTTTCCGAACTTCTAGTGGACTTACTTCATCTGTGATTCATTGCTTTTCTCTAACAGCTTTTAAGATTTTGTCCCTGTGATGGAATTCTCGTACATTGACAAGAAGGAGGCATAGAGAGTTTCTCGTTTGGTTGTGGATATTTGGGATTCTATATTGCCTCATTTAGCAGTATGTTCATTTCTTTTCCCATATTTGTGAAGTTTTCTGCTGTTATTTCTATGAACAGGTTTTATTTAAACCATTTGTGATATCTTCTACCTTTTCACTTATTCCAGTTACTCTTATATTAATATTTTTTGTGTTTGCTAGGAGCTATTGGGTTCATTTTGATGTTCTTTTATTGTTTTTAAGGTATGTTTGTATAGTTCCTTTTTTGAAATCGTGTGTATTTTGGTCCTGAAAATTTGTTCTTACATTGATCACTTCTTCTATCCATGATTTCTGCATAAATTTTAATCTCAAGTGTTTCTGGTTGCAACCATTTCATGGATTCTAATTCTTTGCTAAATTGATTACTTGTGTTTTATATTATTTTGTTTAGCTCAGCTAGCTTTTCATTAGTGTCTTCTGAAAACTTGCAGGTAATTTTGCTTATTATTTCCATTATCTGGTTGGTTAACATCCTCTGTGACCGTACTGAGTACCATTTGATCTGTTTTCTAACCTCTTCTGTTATACTTTTGAGTGATTCAAGTGTGTGGCTTACGCTGATCTTCCCCTGTACCCCTGGATTGGCTTCAGGGGAGTTGGGAGTTTTGGGTGGCATTTCAGTGACTTCTCTTCTCATGTTTCTTTTGTTCTGGTTTGCGCTAGATTTGTGGATACCTACAGTGTAAAGACTTTGTTGATGGTACAGTGGTACCTTGGTTCATGAACTTAATTCTTTCCAAACTGAATGGGACAAGAACCAAATCAAATTCCACAGTTAGGTTCAATGTTACCTTCAGGAAATTTGATTCATTTCTCGTTCAGTTTAATTTGTGATCAGAATTGTGAAAAGAATTAAATCCACAAACTGAGATGCCACTATAAAGAGATCTCTAATCACTTTTCAGTGATGTTTTGGGCATTGTTAACTGTAGTCCCCAAAGTTCGACCACCTGTTAATTTGAGAGAGGACAGTGCAGTGCATTTGGCCTAACACTGAGCTCTTGGTGAGTGTATCCTAGTATCATTAATGTTACAAGGGCAATCTAAGCATTGGCTTTCAGAAAGAAACCAATAAAGCAACAGTTATGTGACCCTAGTAATATCAAAAAAAATTAACTACAGAAATTTCCTCCAAGACAAGTTGAATATTAATGTACCCCAAGAACAAATTATGTACTTTCCTTATCTCTAGAGAAGAAATCCACAGTTACAGTGTAAACAGTAAGACAACCCAGGATTTACTGACAGCGAGAATGTACTAAGTACAATTCAACAGTAATTTTACACAGTTAAGTAACTGTTGAAATATTAGTAAAGCTGTATGGCTATACTGTTAAAGGTACAGGGATTGGGAACTGGGAAGGTAGGCCGAAGTATATGAAATATTAACCTATATTGTGTGAGAAGGGGAGAGAGAGAAGTGTACAAAGGATATTATTGGAGAGTAGAAAAATGTGTATGGAATTAGGTAAAGGTGGCAGGAAAAAAATTTGATGATTATAGAAAAGAAAAAAGGGAGAAAAAACTTACATGAAGACTAAAAGTAAGAGAGAAAAATTTTAAAGGAACAAATAAGAAAAAGGTGTTTAAAAATCCCTAATAATTAGTGAAGAAGAAAGGGGAAAAAAAAAAAAAGATAAAAAGAGAGCACAACATACCCCTCACAAAAAGGGGAAAAAGGGAAATTCCTTTATGATTTTAAATGCATGGTTTTCTTCCAGAATCTACAAGTTTGGGGCAGTAGCCATCCCAAGACATGTCTCTGCTGACCATGGTAGTAGATTCAAAAGCACAGCCACTTTGAATACACAGATACAAAATGGACATTCATCGGCATACCCCATTTTTTCTATAGTTGCATTCTCTTAATGAATAGAATGATTTGTTCAAATGGTGTTTGTAAATAGGATCACAAGTCCGCATCTCGTACAGCAAGTAACCACTAAGAAGAATATATGCAGTGTGTTATTTGTTGAAACTGTACTTCCAATTTGATTTGAAACTGTCTCATTGCTATCTGTTCATCAATAAAACGTTGAAAAAAAAAAAAAAAAAAGCACAGCCAGACATCAGGTCCATGCTGGGTGGAGGCACCAGCAGGCGGTAGGACTGAGGCAAGGGCTCCAGCGCTGTGTCTTTCAGATGCCGAGTACGCTCCACAGGGACAGAGTAGGCTCTGGCACCAGTCACTTGCCAGCGCTGCTAGTTGAGGGACGGCTGTGAGGCAGAATCCTGCACTGCGCCTAGACCACAGCTGCCTCCCTGTGTGCTTTGCCACGACCCTTCTCCCTGGGCCCCTGCAGTGCCCAGCTTTCATTCTGTCTCGAGGTTTGGTCTCCCTTCCCCAGCAGGGGCAAGCCAGGAGCCCTGCATACTTCTCTACGCTGTGTCTGTCTCTTCAGTTTCTCTGTAGCTTTCTGACAGATCCCTCCTGATTCCCAAGGATCTACTTCTTTCCTTTTTTCTTCCCGAGATTAATATTTTCCAGGGTTCAGATTCCGAATCTCAGAGAGGCAGTGTCGTTGTCACTCACCACTCCACCATTTTTTTTCCCCAAATGAAATTTTATCAATAATTGTCATCAGTGCGTTTCTCTTTAGACTTGAAAAGTGCCAGGTACTTCCAGCTTTACAAATAGCTGCTTTCTTCAGGAAATGGAGCACCCCTTGCCCGAGTCGCAGCCTCCCCCGGTCCTGCTTACATGGACTTGCAGGGTGTGCCCACGCAGGACAGCTGCTCTGTAAAGCTGGCAGCGAGCTTGTCTCTGTTGGCAGTGGCTCGCATGCGCTTCCATCACTGTTATGTTGCCCGGCACTGAGGGGCCCAGAGTGTAATTCTCCCCCCCCCACCCCCCGATTTTCCTTTTGAGGCTCTCTCATCATCCTCTTCTCTTCTCTTGAAAGGACCCTCTTGTTCAGAATCCCCAAACTTTAAAATTAAGGCAGGTGGCTGGGGTTGTAGCTCAGTGACACAACACTTGCCTGGCAAGCACAATGTCCTGAGTTCATTTCCCAGTACCAAAAAAATAAAGCTAATTCAGGAATTTGACAAGATTGTTGGTTTTGCTCCTTAAGCATATAACCCAAGTGCGAATTAATCATGTTGACTGGATTTTCCTTTTTTCATTGTAGGAATATCACCCTTTTGCACTATCTCATAACTATCATGGAAAGTAAATACCCAAAGGTCCTCAGCCTAAACGAAGAACTGCGGGATATTCCGCAAGCAGCAAAAGTAAAGTAAGTACTCACCAGGAACTGGAGTTTGTTAAATCGCTTGACCTGTGGGCCAGCCGTGGGGATGGTGAGTTGGCATCCGAGAAATGCAGGGCATACATTGGAGTTTTCCTCTGAACACTGTATGAAATAAAGCATGGATCATAACCAGATCATTCAAATCTGTCACAAGGATTTGAAGACATATTTGTTCTAAGTCTTTTGGGAAAATTGCCACATGCCATTTTTAACTTTCAGAAATCTTAATTTTCTGAGTTGTTAATAGCACAAGAAAGGAATGTGGCTTTACTAGTGCTTTTTTTTAAAAAAAAAAAAAAAAAGCAGTTTTGTTAAGCGCAGGTCGGAATACCCTGGCCAGTGCTCTTTTGTACAAGGCTAGTCTGTTATGCGTAGGTACGAGTGCCCAGAGTTAGGCAGGGTAGGTAAACAAATGAAAGCCCTGCACACAGGACATTGCTAGTGACTTCTGCGTATGTAGATGTTCTCTGAGCCAAGTCAGCCTTTCAGTGAGAAGCAGTCTTTATGCAAATCAGGGGACTAAAAATAAAGTGGAAAATGGCCAGACTTCTACCCAGACTTGACACTGCATGTGAGAGATGGGGAGCAGACAGCTTTTCTCCATGGTCTTCACTCCCCCTTTATATAGACAGCAGGTTGTGTCTCTTTGCAGAGCAGCCTAAGCCTTTTCCTCTGTAGAATTTAGCAGAAACGTATTGTGTACAACATGAAGTTTCTTTGTATATTGTGAATATCTTTTATTATTTATTTATTAAGTAAACTATTTATTGGGCACAGCAAATAGGATCAAGGTTAAATGTACCAAAGTCAAAATTAAATTTCCAACCTGTACAGTAAAATGAAGCATGCATAACACAGGGTTCTCTGGGCCGTGAGGGTCACAGGAGACACGAGGCCATATTCAGCAGTGAGCACAGCCTTCAGTGCGGCCTGCTACCAACCACAGCCCTGCTCTCAGGCCAGTCGCTGAATAGTCAGTGCTCTGATGAGTGTGAGCAAACGCTTACGTTCCCTCACGGCACTATTAGTTTGGAATTCTTATGAGTGTGAGCAAACGCTTACGTTCCCTCACGGCACTATTAGTTTGGAATTCTTCTTTTTTTTTTTTTTTTCCTATTTTAATTTTATTTTGAAAAGTAAAAGCAAAGTAAGAACAAAAATCAGAAACAAAGAAACAGGGCAACATACAACAATACATAGGTTACAGATTTTCAAACCAAGAGTAGTTGATTTACAATGATTGATGTATTTTCTATTTTATCATCAAATCTGTTCCTCAGATTAACAGATATAGTTATGTAAGATTGGATGTATGATTGGGTATTACCACTTGCTTTCAAGAAACCTTAAATTTTTGTTCTTGTCTTTTTTGCCTTTTTTTTAAAGTTTTGAATTATCTTTTAGAATTAAGTTTTAGGGGCTGGTGAGATGGCTCAGTGGTCTAAAGTGCCTACTTAGAACAAGCTTAGCAAAGCACAGGGACCGCGGTCAATCCCCAGCACCACATGCCAGCCAGCCCTGCCCCCTGGTGGGCTGAGCTGGCCACACACACACACACAAATAAATAAATTTTAAAAAATAGAATTAAGTTTTAATGTCTGATATTTAAAATCCATGAAATAGCCAGGCATGCTGGCCCACGCCTGTGAGCTAAGTACTTAGGAGTCTGAGTCAGGAGGACTGCCATGATTTTGAAGCCAGCCTGGGTTGCATGCCAAGTTCAAGGCCAGCCTGAACTGCATAGTTAGACCACGTCTAAATAAATAAATAAATGCTGTGAAATGGCATTGTAGAAGTCCAGGAATCTTTATTACAACAACAACAAAACGTGAAAACGTTTAGCACAGCTGTAGGAAAAGCCAGTGTTTATTCCGCTACGGCTGTTCTCATAGATACCCGTATTATCAGAGCCCCTGGGAGGGGCAGTGGGCTCCCTTACTTCAAAGCAGGCCGCGTGTGCCCGCAGGTCGTGTGCTTTCTTTTGCAGCTGCAATTACTTTTTCCGAAAGAGCCAAGTGTGACAAATTTATTTCCACGTAAAGTAACTTGGTCAAGTGATTCTTTTTACAAGACTTAAACATGAAATATTTTTATACACGTAGGAGATGTTTCTCTTTTGCTGTTTTTAATTTTTAAAATGTAACTGCTGGTTGTGGAAAACAAAAAGCAAACTTCTGTACCTAAATCTGGAAGCTTAAAATGCTGCGTTCTGCTGTGTGATGTGAACATGGGCTTCCTTCAGCGTGAACCGTGCAGCAGCGTATGTGTAACATGCCTACGTCACGTGCTGGTTTTCACTAAAATGTTGCTATTTAAAACAGCATGACTGAGCTGGACAAAGAAATAAACACCTTGAGAAGCGGCCTGAAGGCAGTCGAGACAGTGAGTATCAGTTTGCTGTTCTAATCCGAGCCTCTTCCCTATCTCTAGTCCTAACGAGGACTTCCACTGTGTGAGCTGCTTGCTTGAGCATGCGGCCTGCCCAGGGCAGCACCTACTGATTCAAAACAAAAACAAAAACAAGAAGAGAGTATGTCTGACCTGGTGACATGATTGCAGACTGCAGGCCGTCCTGGGTGGGTCACTGCACCTGGGGCTGGACCCTATTACCTGGGGGAGGGAGGCTTTGGGAAAATGAGCTGGCTAACCAAGGACCACCCCCACCCCGACGCCTGGTAGTATCCCGGGAAACCTTCTGGAGAGGAGTAGGCTATCTGCCTTGCCTCAGAGCCAGTCCTTTGATGGGTTGTTTCCTGAGGGCTCAGAGTGAATCGACCTTGCCCCCTGGAGTGTCCCTGTGGGGAGGAGCCTGTTCCCTCAGTGCGCCTGTCCAGATAGGCACAATGTAGACGAAGGCTGCTCCAGGCCTGGCTGACGTGGAGATGCTCTGGGGACCCCTGCGCCGCCAGGCGTGTCTGGAGGAGCACCACTTCCAGGAGGAAGGAGCAGTGAACAGTGTCTGGAAGAAGACTCAGGTGTGCAGGAGGGAGGCTGCCTGGGGACATGGGACAGAGAGGAGTGAGAAGTGGCTGTTAGCCTGCACCTGCGGGTACTGCGCAGATGCGCGTAGCGGGTAATGGCTAGAAGGAGGTGCACAACCTGAGTAGCCCTCCTCCCCGCCCAGCAGCAGAGTCAAGGCATACAGGATCAGTCCTCCATGGATCACAGACAGGCCCAACCTATGGGACACTTTAGGAAGTTTGTTTGATACTTGTCACCCTTTGACTCTTCCTCTCCATGGCAGGTTTATTGAAACTACCATGACAGTGTGACAGCCCTGACTCATGGTAGACACTCTGACCTCTGACCAAGAGCTGGCTCAAACCCAGCCTGGGGGAGGAACAGAGTTATAAAGACGTTCTATGGTTTGGATTTATTAAAGTATAGTTTTACAGAAATCTGCATCTCCTAGCTCAGTGATGTAGAACCTCTTAGAGACAAGTGCCAAACCGTAGCCCAAAACCCAGTTACGTGTCACAAAGTGCCAGCACTACCATTAAACCTCAATACTGAGGTGTTAGTTCAGAAACAAGAGCTCCACATTAACATCTTGTCTTGAAGCCACAGTATGCATGTTCCATAGGTCCACACTCCCTGTGGCTCACACTCTTCATAGGGAAAGCAGCTACAGAAGCCCTCTGCACCACCCCCAGGCAGCTGAAAGGGCAGGCTGCAACCTTGTGAGGAATCTTGGGGAGGTAGAGCTTGGCAGGGTGAAGTGCTCATGTGCCCTACTCATGCTTTGCCCGGATTAATTACACTGCTGGGAGGTGTCAGCGATGGAATTCTCATGAAAAGGTCATTAATGAAGCCCTTGAAGATGCCTTCCCATCCCGTGGCCAGCACACATGCTTATCCATTCTCCAGTTTCTTCCAGTCAGAACCAGGTCTATAGTTCATGAAATTTTCTTTTATTTTGTTTGATTGCCATAATAATGGGGCTACTGCCTACCTTTAAAAAAGTGGCCCAGAGCAAATCGCCATGGGCGAGAAGCAAGGAAGTGCCAGAGTTGAGTCGAGCCTGTGCCTCTCACTGCTGAGCTCCTGCTTGTCAGTATCTCTGCCAAAACAGGTACACAAAGAAAAAGGGGCTGTGCAGCCACAGCAGAGGACAGGGGCGTCGTGTGTCCAAGACTCTGGGGCAGGTATCCCTGCCTGTCACTGATCAGCTGCTTGACTGGGGAAAACATATTTGTAATTAAGGTTTCCTCCAAACCTTACCTTGTATGTCTGAACAGTGGGGCTAGTGCTTCCTCTCTCATAGGTGTTATAAACATTAGAGAAAAAAAAAATTAAGAAAGAAAATGCACCAGGTAATATTTGAAATTAATTATTGAAATTTGGTTTGAATCATGTGTGTTCTTTCCATAGTAATGGAGAACATGAATAATTAACAAGAGACTAGTTCTCCTACCTGCCTGCTCACAAAACCTAATGGTGTAGACAAGAAAAATGGTTCATGATTTGGGACCAAACGCTACAGTAGTTGAATTCTACTCTTACTACATGAGCATTTCACCCTGCCAAGCTCTACCTCCCCAAGATTTCTTACGCTTCTACAGTATCTAATCATTGTTACAGTGATTAGAAAGTAAATCCAAGTTGGCAGACTGGAGAGAAGGAAGGAGGAAAACAGATCAGGACAGTTCTGATCACGGAATACCAACTATGAAAGCCTCTTCCTTTCACTTGAATTCAGCTCGTTCCTCTTATTTGTCTGATATCTATTAATTGTATCCAAATGGTAATCTGCTTACTGCTAAAAGTCCAGTGCGCGATGACACTGAGAATGTAATTGCCGTTCCCGTGCACTGGCGCGCGTGGCGTGGTTATGGCACGGGGTAGGAGGCTACAGCACTGCACATGTGTTTGCCACTGAATAGCGAGCCAAGGCCCGTGCAGTAGGACACAAGGTGCGTCTGCGTCTGAGGCCTACAGTGTCATCATTCATTCCTTATGTTTAAGGAGCTGGAATATCAGAAGTCTCAGCCCCCACAGCCTGGAGATAAGTTTGTGTCTGTGGTCAGCCAGTTCATCACTGTGGCCAGCTTCAGTTTCTCCGACGTTGAGGATCTGCTGGCAGAAGCTAAAGACCTGGTAACTTCGCCCTTGCATACTTGTGTGCTTGACTGAGCGGGGCCTCCAGATATTATCTGTGTGGCAAGCAGCAGGAGTGGGAGCACATCATGGCTTGGCCAGTAGTGCATAATCACTTTCCAGATGCCCATTGCATGTAACATGTGTGTGTTTTCATCTCCAGAAACTGGGTTAACTGAAACACACCCTTGTCACCTGACTGGCCTCTGTTGACTTAAAGGCTTGAACGGTGTAGCATCAGTACGTGTGTTGATGGTTTTCTCTTGGGTGCTTTTGGATTGAAGTGTTTATCTCCGAGCAGCAGAATAAATGGTGAAAGCCAGGAACAGGTGTGACTAGGCCATGTGCCTCGGTATATCTGTACACAGTATGCGTGTGTGAGACAGCCTCAAGAAGAAAGGGTGCTCCCTCTGTGAACCTCCAGCAAAACTTACTGAAATGCATTTTACTTCACCACCTCCTATAAAGGGGTACTTTTTTAGTAAATAATTTCTTCGTATGTTTTGTTTTGTTTTTGTTTTTGTTTTTGTTTTTTTTTTTTGGTGGAACCAGGGATTGAACTCGGGCCCTTGTGCTTGCCAGGGAAGCACTTAACCTACTGAGCCATCTCCCTGGCCCCTTCTTTGTATGGTTCTTACCATTTAAAATTTTATCCTCCTTCAGAGGAAGAGTTTTCATTGACTAATGACCAAGACTTTTCAGTAACCCTTTCAGAGCCCCTCCCTCTCTGCCCTCTTCCCTCTCACTGGCTTTTGCGTGTGCTCGCTCTCTCCCTTCCCCTCTCTCGCTCTCTCCCTCCCCCTCTCTCTCTCCCTCCCTCTCTCCCCCTCTCCCTTTCTTCCCTCTCCTCCTCTCCCTCCCCCTCTCTCTGAAGCTCTTATTTCATACACATAAATACAATACAAGTCCAAATGACTGCCAGTAGAGGTCCAGCTGCTGCTGTCCCACAGTAGACGTTAGCCACCCAGTGTCACAGTCCTGGTGCAGAGCTCCACCATGAAAGGCCCGTGCACATGGTAGGTGGGCCTCACCGTTCTGGAGTGTGTACTTCACAGAGGGGCGCTCACCCCTTCCCTGACGGTCTAGCATTGTGTTTCATCTTAGCAAGAAGCTCAAAAGCAGCAATTAGCTGGATGTATTTTATTTTGTTGGGAACTTTACTCTGTCCTTAGCTTGGTTAGTTCTAAGACTGAAACACATATTATTACTTCATCATCTCTAGAATTCCTAAATAGGAAAACCATTCAGCAGAATTTAAGTACATGAACTTGAATGTTTTAGAAACTCAGTTAGTAGACTGTTTATTGCTCTTTTATTCATACCAGAATTTTTATAAATTAGCTAATGAAACCATGGAGCAAACTAGAGTTGTATAATATGAAATGGGAAGAATATTATGTTTTTCCTCAGAGTTCTCTTTTGTAATAAACATTATAAATATTGACAGTAACTGTACAAAAAACCAAAAATTGGTCCTAAAATGGATTATTAGAAATTTTACAATATGAAATGATGATAAAATATATGTAAATACATCAAATTTAGTCAAAATATTAAACAATACTGAAAACATTTCTTATACTGTTATTGAAATATTAGAAAAACTTAATATAATAAAGACAAAAAGTAGTAATTTTAGGAAAAGACGATCAATTAGTAACTGTTGTACTCAGGCAGACTACAAAAACCTGTCTTGGCCTAAATATGCAGAAAATAAAAGGTCTGGACAGCTGTAGGTAGGTGAGGCGGAGGGAGAGAGGCTGCATTCCCTGCGAAGCCCAGAGCCCTGTGGTGGAGGGAGGAGCCGCGCAGAGCCCTGGGCGAGGCTCACTGCGGAGGATGAGAGCAGCCTGCCTGGGGGCCACAGCAGGACGCACTCCTGCGCTCTCCGGAGAACCCATGGATACCCCTGGGGAGGGCGGGTGGCATATACTGCTTTGTTATTCTGTATTTCAGTTTCATTTTTTTAAATCCACCCTTAACTATTTAGCATTTTGTCTATTTTTAAAAATCAGTAAAAATAAAGCACTTCAAGCCAGCAAAATGTATGGGAGAGCTCACAATTTTTCTTTTAACTTTAGTTATACACGTGTCTTTGAGGTCTGTATTAGTCCTCTGTGGATAGCTTAGGAAATGACTCTAAACCCCTCCCAAAGTACAAATTGCTGGAAGAAACTTGGATATCAGATCCCAGAAGTCTTAAAGCTGTCATTATTTGTCATAATTCAGGGGGATATAAAAGAGTTGTGGCAAGGAAGCTCCGTTGACTGGAGTGAGCATTGGTCCCTTAAAACGGAGTGTTTTGAAGTCAGGAAACCTCCTTAAAGTGGCCTTGATGAGTGCTGAAGGAGTTGCTTGTGGAATTCCTTACATAAAAATACCTTTAATTTTTTTTTTTAATCATTAAGAGTTGGAGTGAAGTATTCTTAGTCAAACTTGGGCTCTGCATCAGTTCCATCATCAGTCACTGTTTTCTAGTTAGGCCCCAGGAAACATCGTAATGTATTTGATGAGGGAACGGCACGAGAAGGACCAGGTCCCATTTGTGCTCTGCAGTCACAACATGGCATAACGCAGCAGCTACTTTGCCCCTCCTGAGCTTGCTGTCGCCTTTGTGTCCAGGGTGCTCGGCCTTGGTGTCTGCTTTCTTGTTTGCACGTTGTGTGGTTAGTGTGGGCTGCTCGCGAGGATTTCTGTGCTCCTACACTTCTCTGAGGATGCTGAACTTCTTCAAATCTTCTCCTCTCCAGTTTACTAAAGCAGTAAAGCACTTTGGGGAAGAGGCTGGCAAAATCCAGCCAGATGAGTTCTTTGGCATTTTTGACCAGTTTCTCCAAGCTGTGTCAGAAGCCAAACAAGAGAACGAGAACATGAGAAAGAAGAAGGAGGAGGAGGAACGCCGAGCGCGCATGGAGGCCCAGGTGAGACAAGCTGAGCCCAAGCCGGCTGCGCTCGCCCCTGGAGACTGCGGCCCCTTGCTGTTTGGACGGAATTGGAATTCTATGTGTATCCTGGGGACGGACGCCAGAACCTTTAAGTGAGCTGTGTCACCCCCTCTTTTTCTGTGTTTTGAGACAGGATTTCACGGAGCCTTGTGAGTTGCGCAAGCTAGGGTTGAAATTGAGATCTTCCTGCCTTAGCCTTTTAGTTTGCAGGGTAATAGGCAAACACCACCATGCCTAGCTAGCACCATTTTGGCAAGAAGGCAGTAGCTCAGCTCTCTGAAGACGAGTTTTTGTTTTTGTTTTTTTTTTTTTCCGGAACCAGGGATTGAATTCAGATCCCTGTGCTTGCCAGGCAAGTGCTTATTCTACTGAGCCATCTTCCTGGTCCTGGACAAGTTGATTTGGACTCTCCATACTGTAAAGAAATTAATAATCTTAATTAGAAAAACTTAATAGCAAAACTTATCTTTCCGTTATAGAAACCAGTTACCTCAGTCGTTCCCCTTTTTAATGAGAACGTAGGAGGCTTTCCTAGACTAGACTGTGAAGGTTTTGTCTTCACCGTAAGTTGTTTCTGCAGTGAGGACCCATCCCGCCCCCCACGGGTGCCCTGCTCCCTGGTAGCTGTCGATGTGCATGGGGCCCCTATGCCCAAGGCGGACTCTGGCATTGTAACCCTTCACTAAGAGGGCTCTTTCTGCTTGCAGCTCAAAGAACAGCGGGAAAGAGAACGGAAAATGAGGAAAGCAAAAGAGAACAGTGAAGAAAGCGGAGAGTTTGATGACCTCGTCTCGGCTCTACGCTCAGGAGAAGTGTTTGACAAAGACCTTTCTAAACTGAAACGGAATCGCAAACGTATCTCCAATCAGGTGACAGATGGCAGCCGAGAGAGACCTGTCACAAAACTTAATTTTTAATTTCTTTTCAGTACTTTTCTAGAAAGCCCAGTAGCAGCCCTTTGAAGTGACTCGACCGTTCTGTTACACTGCTGTGGCAGTTCTCCGTGTGTGTGTGTGTGTGTGTGTGTGTGTGTGTGTGAGAGAGAGAGAGAGAGAGAGAGAGAGAGAGAGAGAGAGAGAGAATGGACATGTACATATATATTAAAACTGCACAGAAGTCTGAGTGTCTAGAGACTCACATGTACGGTCATCTTCATTCCTGTGTGCACAGTGACCTGTGTCGTGTGTGTGCAAGTGTGGCCCAGTGTCTGTCCCTGAGCATGGGGACAGTTGAGAAGCACAATGGCCCCCACAGAGACACCCTGGCATATGGAGAAAACAGGCTTGTAAGGTGCAGGAGGGCTTCCGCTTCGTCTCCTCGAAGCCGTTACCTCTGGAGGGATGGGGCTGGAAGACTCCAGACTGGCGCTGGCCAACGAAGCCAAGGCATCGCCTCAGGGACTGCGGGGTCCCACTCAGACCGCGGCCAGGGATGTGGTGAGGCAGGCTGTTCGTTGACAACATCTTGCACACAGTTTGTGTTGTGTAGAATGTCAATCGGAACCCTTTCGTATGTTTAAAGCTTGGACGTCGGGTGCCCCCGACTTAATTTCATCAAGTTTTCTGCCAAGTGCTCTTGATGATTTCTCTGTTGCTTTTAGGGGAAAGAAAAGACATTATGTAAATGCAATCCATGCCTGTGTTAAAGAACACAATTGCTAGATGTGCTTGTTGTCCTAGGATAGATACATCAACCTTAAAAATAAAGTCCTCACCCAAGACTTCAAGGAAGAATTCTCTAAGGAATGGATCTGATTAATTTTTAATGGGGTGCCTTTTTTGGCTTTTTCTATTTTCTTTGTAGGATAAGCTGCATCTTCTGTAAATATAGGCCTGGGTTAAGAGCACTTAGCACGTACACAAAACATCCACAGACCTGGCCCGATCTATTTATCTCTAAGTATATTTGAAGTGGTTTGCTGTTATATGTTGTCATTTTAAATTGTGTGTTGGTAAAGCTACCTGTAAAATTTCAGTCCAAAAAATAAAACTCTCAGGGAGAAACAAATACAAACAATGAACATTAGAGAATAAAATATAGATGCTTACCATTAACCTACCAACTTCTAATATCCTTAAATTATATGATCTCTAAAGAGGACTGTTACTTTTTTTTGCTTTTGCTTTATTTATTTGTAGTTTATGTTGCGGGGTGGCTAATGTTTTCTCTTCTCTTTCCATCTGTCCTGTTGTGGTTGGGTTTCCTGTGGAGAGAGTAGTTTTTCCTGGTGCATTAGAATATTGCTTACTAAATTGAGTTTTTCAATCATCTAATGAATATTTATTAAGCACCTACTATGTGCCGGGCATAGTAGAGTTATAGTGGTAAACAAGACAGAGTGCCTGCCCCTGAGGAGCTGCCATTCTCTTTGGGACTTCTGGGACAAGCAGGACACCAGTGTGTGTGCTGTACAGGATCATCCTGATTAGCAGTAATGTGTGCTAACTCTGAAGCTTGGCGCAGAAGGCGGGGTGTCTGTGCTGGGTGAAGCTGTGACAGAGTGCTCTAAGTTGTCCAGAGCTGTGGTTTTACATTTTTTCCTCATAAACTTAGCAACTTTCTACCTGTTACGTGGAAGTCAGTGACGCTGGCACATAGAGCAGTCTTAAGCACAGAGCAGAGTCAATGCCCAGCCCCTGCTGAGCTGGGCCGTGCGAGTGGCCAGGCGGTGGGCCGCTGAGGTGCGGAGAGGACAATACTAGAAAGATGGTTTTCTCTGTTACTTAACTAAAGTGCCTCTATGTATATTCTTTTCTACTTATAGCAGGAGAAATTTGGTGTGGCTCAGTTTTGGAACTGTAATTTCAAAATGACATCATCTCACAGTAAGGAATGAAAACATGGAAGGAGAATTGTGAAAAGGAACAGATTAGTGCAGCGTGTCCCTCTGAGTCCCCCGCTTTGGCATGGCCATCCTGTGGGTGGGCCTCCTTTGCCGTTTTCATATCTCGTTCTCGTCCCTAAAAACTGTGCAGGTAATTCCGTGTGCCATTGTTGGGGGAAAAACTACGTCTTAGACTGGTGCTGGTGTAAGTAGTCACTTTTCTCTCTTGGGTGTGTATTTTAAAGGTTGTTTGTCTGTTAAATTAATGCCAAAAAGAAACATTATAAATTTGTAAACCTAATTATATGTCTTGTATCTTACTAGCTTAGTAGTTCGAACCACTTAGTCTTTAGGTGCAAGAGTGTTGCCATTGTACCAAGAAAAGCTGTTGTATGTGTTATGAGACTGTACATTTTTTTAAGATAGCAATATGCAATAAAGATGACTTCATTGGGTGTATATATACATATGCTTTCTATGAATTATTAAAATAACATCAACAAACATCTTTGTGCATTTCACCATGGAATTAAAATATTTCAAATTGTTTGCTAAATCAGAAATGCTGAGCTCGTATACGCTAGATCTGGAAGAGGGTCATTTTCTGTCATGGCAGCATTCGTTACGCCTGGGTTGCCTAAACTACCTCTTTCTATAATTTTGTGTTATGTGTGGTAGGGCTACTGGTGAAATCATTCAACTGAACATATAGAAAAGAATCTCTAGAGCCAGGGATATAGATCAGTGGCATAGTGCCTGCCTGGCAGTTACGAGCTCATGAGTTCAATTCGCAGTACCAGGGGGAAAAAATGTAGAATCAAATCCTTTTTTTAGAAAAATGTATTTTCTTTTTAAAAAATCAGAATCAATTTTGAGTTTTGGAATCATTCAGCCAAGATTCACAAATATGTTTTATAAACATCCACTGGATGTGGGGGACCTTCCATGGCCTCTGCTTGTCTCACCACGGCCTCCCAGCCACTGTCAGCCCCGCTTGAGGTCAGGCTGAAACAGTCACTCTGCACACGGGGAGAAGTGGGGAAATGGGAAGCTTGGAGGACTGCCTTTGTCAGCAAGCGGAGCTCCCGGCTCGCACAAAGCGTGCTGCTCTTCTGTGATCTGCTGTGATCTTAGGCAAGGCCAGCTCATAACCTTTATCCAACTAGTTTGGGGACAGTTATTCAAAGTGTCAAATTCTGGAAGGGAAAATTTTCTGAAGCTTTTTTCTTTTAGGTAACATCCACAGTTTGCTATCAAGTACAAAAACAAGAACCGCAAAGCTTAACAGGTCTGTGACGCCATTTAGTTCTGTAAGCACTGTCTCTGAGAACCACTGGCTTATAGAGAGGCTTATCATCAGCGTTCAAAGTGTCGGCATCAGGACCGTCTGTTGCCTCACTGTGCTGAGTTGGTGCTCATTTTCTGTTCAGTGCATGCGTTGTTTTCAATCTGTTACGTCCCTGGCTCCTCCCTTATGATAGCAACGCAACTCAGGCCCAAAACCTGTTGAGTCTGTAATCGAGACATACCTTAAAATCTATGAATTCCTTACCGTGGAGGCATTTGGAGGCTCCTGGAGGGGATTCCTTGGTATAAAGAATTTAGTATTTCCCATAGCAAATGCCAGTCAGAATTATTTTCTTATCTTGCTTGTGAGGAAAATATCAGACCTGGCCTTTGATCTCTTACCTGCCTTGCCTTTATCTACTGCAGTCGATTGGACTGTTTCCATGGTATCAAACAAACATCAGCACAGGACTGCACATCAGGGTTTTTAGACAAAGGAGACCTTTATTTTTATCAAACCTTGATAGGTTTGAGGTTTTCGGGAGCAAGAATGAATTCCCAAGTACAGTTTTTCCCATATCATTGAATAAAACTTCTTTTCTACTTCTCTACCCATAATTTCTTTCTCCAGGAGGAGTGGGAAGGAAGTGGCTCAGTATTACAGGCTAGACAGTGTTTTCAGTCCTGCCCTCCCACACCTCTGTGATCAAGTGGGGACATTCTTGTGGCAAAGGGACCTGCACGTGACAGTGAGCACTGATGTTCTCACTCCCACCTCCAGGGCAGAGATACCCTGAGCGGTCAGGTTGGGACTGGTTTGGCCAGCCTAGGGGAAGAGGAGCTCCTGAAGAGGACCTGGCCATGATGTTGAGCCACGACTCGAGCCGGGCAGGAGAAGGAAGACGGCAGCCACACCCTCAGCTCAAGGAAGTCAGGCTGCAGGATACGTGATTAATCACACAGAGAAGTCCCTTTCCTGTGTACCAGCAATGAACAAATTGAGTTTGAAGTTAAAAACATGATGTTATTCACATTAGCACTCTGCATTTTGGGTCCCAATTACAACATCAGGCAAAATCCCAACAAGTTCTTTTCTGTTTATCAACAAGAATAGCCAACCCATTACTAAAGAACAGAGTTAGAAGTTGAACACTCTTGAACTGCAAGACATGTTATAAAGCTACAGTGACTGAGACAGTGTGATATTGAAATAGACATGTGAATGAACTATAGACCCCAGGCATGGAACCATAGATAGTCAACTAAACCTTGTCAGAATAAAGCTAATACAATAACAGTGAAATTGCAAAGTAGACCTTACATGCAGAAAAATAATTCCAACTCAGACTTCACACTATAAGAGACTAACTCAAAATGAATCATAAACCTAAGTGTAGAAACATCTACACATAAGAAGAAAAAAGCCTGAATGACCATGGGTTTTGCATGAACATTTGTTTGTTTGACACAGAGTCTTGCTATGTAGCTCAAGCTGACCTTGAACTCACTGTGTGGCCCAGACTCTCCTCAAACTCAAAGTTATCCTCTTGCCTCACCCTCCCCAGTGGTGGGATTACTTGTGCCATGACACCCAGCTCAACAGTAACTTTTTAGGTGCAACACCAAAGATGCAGTCTATGAAAGAAGCTCATGAAAATTAAACAGTGCTGTTCGAAGAAAGATTATCAAGAAAATAAAAAGAACTCACACACTGGGAGAAAGTATTTCAAAGGACATATCAGGTAAAGAAATGCTATCCAAAATGTACAAAGAACTCTTAAACCTCAGTAATGAAAGCATAAATCTATTTTAAAATGAGCCAAAGATGAACAGACACTTCTTCAAAGAAGATACACAAAAATGGCAAATATATGAGACGATGCTCCACTCCTATGGCAGGAGGGAAATGCAAGTGAAAACAACTATGAGACATCACGACACACCTAGAGTGGCCAAAATCCAGACTACTGACAGTAGCAAGAGCTAGCAAGGATGTGGAGCAACAAGAACTGCTGCCCTTTTTGCTGGGGCTGCAAGATGGTACAGCTGCATGGGCAATTTCACAGTTGCTTCAAAACATGCTGTTGGCACATATCTTTCTTTCCTAGCTTCGGGGATACCAACAGATCAAAAAAGGAAATGTTTATTTGACTCACAGTTTGTAGAGGTTTCAGTTCATAGCTGTCTCCATGTCAGAGGGGCGTGTGGAGGAGGGTTGCTCATGGAATAGCTGCGGAGAAATAGAGACAGAGTAAAGGAAGAACCAGGGAGGAAATAAACTCCTAGGCTGCACCTGCTGTGATCCACCTCTTCTCGAGCCTACCTCCCAACAGCACTCAGGTATAAGCTCATCAGTGGGCTAATCCACTGGAGTATCACACCTGCATGAAGCAGTTGCCTCCTGAGAGCATCTCCTATGAACACATGCTTTAGGGAGACATCTAGATATGAAACATAATGTTCCAGTTTTAGCCCTTGAAAGACTCCTTTATGCAAAATGTACTTTATCTCTAAAACTTGCCAAACTTAACAATTCAGCATTACTAAAAAGTCTAAAGTTCTGATTTATAAGGAAAACTCTTAGCGGTGAGCCCCTACAAAAGTCAAAGGGTAGTTAAACACTGATGACATACAAAGGCACAGGGTAACATTCTTTCTTACTCTTCTCTCATTACTGGGACAAAATAACTGATGCCCAAAATTAACAATAGAAAGGTTAACTTAGCTCACAGTTAGTGGAGGTTTCAGTCCGTATTCAGCTGGCTCCAAGGCAGAGGGCAGCCTTTCATGGCAGCAGCAAAGAACAAAGTGAGGAGCGGCAGCTCCAGCAGTTAGCTAGTCTCTCTCCCTTCCTTACACTGTAATGCAGATTACTTGCCCCAGGGTGGGTGTAGCACTCACACCTGCAATCCTAGCATTGGATCAAGAATCACAAACTCTAGAAGCTGCTTCATGACTGCATGAGGCTTTGGGGGGGATACCTAGACACACACCATAATACATTCCCATTCCAGAAGGGATAAACAGAGGTATAGAAAGAAATGGGACCAAAATAAAACTGGAACCTGACAAAGCATACGTTACCACATGGGCACACTGGTGAGACATGAACTGTAAAAGGTTTGGGTGGCTCTGACCCACAGCTCTATCAGTGCTCAGTCCTCATGGCTTCTCTCTTGGGCTGGGTCTGCTCCTTGCAGCTTTCCTCTGACATCCCACGCTCCTGGCTTTTCCAGCATCCTTGGGTCTCCACTGTACTCTTACAGTCACAGCCACATAAGCTGCCTTCTCAGGAGCACACTGCCTGGCCTCCCAGGCCTTCTGGGGTCTAGATGGAAGCCTTCCTCACTTCACAACTCAGGGTCTCACTACACAGATCAGACTTGTAGTGATCCTCCTGTTTTCAACCTCCCAAGTGCTGAGATTACAAGCACATGCCACCACACCCAGTCCCAATGGCCATCTCAGCATACCCCAAGGATGGAGCTGGAATGATAGGCCAGGGATTGAACCCTGGCCACGGCACTCTGCCTAAGCAGGCACTTTGGTCTGCTGAGCTATCTAACTGGCCCCCC